GGTTGAATTGCGTGAGCGAGCGGGGGAGGGGTGGGGTGAGATGATGGAGAGGGAGGAGTGGAAAGAATGGGAGACTAGGGTGGAAGAGGGAGAGGGGTGGGGTGGGGAATAGGGGCCGGGAGGGGAGGATGACGGATAAAATCAAATTTAAGACCAGCAAGAAAGAGGGGATCAGGAACGGAGAAGAGGGGGGACCACAATAGGCAGAAATTCACAGTTTGCTTGCTGTGAAAGGAACATTCTCAAGCTCAACACGTACCACAATGACGAAGTTGTCTCTTAGCGACTCCTCTTCCAGCTCGTCAAAGTAGTACTTGAAGACCTGCACCGGAAGAAAGCACACAGGGAGGTTCGTATGCATCATCAGTATAGCCATCCGTCAGACTTTAGGTCAGAACACTTACGCTGTATGAGAGCTGGAAATATGTAGCTGATTGGAAACACTGCCGCGAATCTGCTCGCAGCTTCCCAAAAACAAATTCGGAAAAGCACACTGCCCGAATTCGTAAAGATATGTCAATTCCCATACTGTTGGCTGCTTGCGACCCAAAGGTAGACCTTTTGCGACTCAACCATTAGGTGCTCGCGAACCAGTCATCAGATGCATGCGACTCTTGTCGAACGCGACTAAATCATCATGCAAATCGCATCAAGTACAGGCGACCCAATAATCACATACGTGCGACATATGCGATGCAACCATGCGCATGCGACTTAACCCACCGCAAAGCATACATGTGCCATAATCGGTGACATCCGAAGATCGCCAAGCACACATCAGGCATCATGGCACATTCGAGCCATTGCCGGTACATATCAGCAATCATCAGGCACATCCGAGCCATCGCCAGGCACACATGACCCATTATCAGGCACATCCGACCCCAATCATATCTCTCCCCGTGCCCCACTGACCTCCACGGCTTTGTGAAGGAAGAGCAATAGACTGGCGGCGTTGGCGTTTTGCCGGGTGGCGATCATGAGGTACACGTTGTTGTGCTGAATGAAGAGGTACGTCACTCCGTTGTCCAGAATCACCGGCTCCCGCGAGGACGGGTCAGCCTGACGTGGCAAGTTGGTTTAGAAAAGCGCAAGTGTGCGAGGAATTAACGGATAGAGGGTGAGATAACGCTGAGCAGACGTGAACCAGCGGCATGACATAGGGAAACCAGAGTTGGACACACAATATGACATTGACGGTGAAATCCGAAAGGAAGTTTCCACGACCAGCCAATGTCGTAAAAAAAATACGCGGATTACGATCCTGTAATGCATTCCTGGATTCTCCAGTTCTTGAAGCCGGAAAATGAGAGCTCGCACGACACTGGAGACACACACCAGGACTCGAGAAAGCTGCGAGCGTTCCTTTGCTGTAATGATCACATCAGGACACGGATACGGTTTGACTAGTATACTCATCGCGTACCTCGCCTTCCATCAGCTTGTTAAAGAATTTCTCTGCAGCGGATGCAGGAACATCGCCACGGTAATCCCTCCATATCAGGACCCTCCCCTTCATGTCCAGGATGTACACTGCTGACGCCGCGCCCGACATGGCGCCTGCTTCTGTGAAACCTAAGGGGAAAAGTGAAAAGTAAGGCCGAATCGAGAATAAGGCCAGGTAGTAAGGAGCCTGGTCGAGTCAACGCGAATGGAGAAAAAGAATCGCAACGTTGCTTACGCAGCTGATGCGACAATCACGATGCGTACCGTGACCGTAGACCGTTGCGACTTACAAAAATCGACGGATTTTGCAGCAGGTTAACCAGTAATGAAGCACCAGCGAATGATCTAGAACTAAGATAGTGACCGAGGAACTAGATCTAAGTTGACCAGGCACCCTAAGAAGCTCGAGCTAAAGCCTCGCTATTCGTAACGACACGCAAGAGGGATGATCCGTCACAACATCCACAGATGTCAGGCTGCAAGAATCGAGTGGGAAATGATACGACCTTTCACTGCTGATGGATTAGGGTATCAACTTGCTCCTGAGCCATGGCCAGGCTACAGGAGGAAGAGATCGCGGTATCTGATCCAGAACATAGGCCAATGGATACGAAATTCTTAGGAAAACGACTTGGTTGAGGCTCCTAAAAATTTCCTGGATCCTGATCAATGATGGAAATAGAGTTGCTACGACGACCTCTCTCCTAGAAATTACCGCAGGGAAAGTATGGCTGAAGACTCCTCCAAGCCTACCCTCCCAGGTACAGTCGGTGCTCATTTCAAGAACACCAGGTAGGCGGGCGGCATGTGCGTGAAACGAGTTTGGGGAGTTTCGTCATGTTCGCCCTTGTCGCCACGGGCAAAATTGTGATTGTACATTGAAATTGGAATTTGAAACGAGTCCGGGGGTTTAAGTTCGTAACCAGGTAAACAATTCTGATGACGGGCAATCGCTGTTGTTTATGAACTGTAGATGTTTTTCTTCCGCAACTTGGTGACTGTACCCGAAATCAGCACAATCACCACTCACAGGGAAAACGTTCGCGAGTGACTAATTTTCTTATAGTGATAAGCAAATTTTTGTGATATGCTGAGCATCGACTGTAATTGCTCACCCAGATTTATGCTCTGAACAACCTACCTGCCTGATTCACCCACCCTGATACTCCTCAGATCCAAAAATCCTAAGGCATGCCATTTACGGCCTTGGCGAAAACGTTTCGCGAAGTGCGGCGATTCCAAAGGCTTCCTGGTTTGTTAGACACAAAGTAGACAGTAACCATAACGGCTAGCTGATGCGTTTTCGCTACTGGTGGAGGAACGAGATGGTGGGAAAATGGACATTTCGGTGGGAGAAGGCCAATCCCTAGAAACGGCCAGATGCCAACGAGTACGGCATAAAATCGGGTCTAATCGAACACTGTAATTCCTAGCTCCGCGGCTACACTCCGCACATGCTTCATTCTGGTTCACCAATCCCATCCCACCCCATTCGACCGAGGATATGTGCTCAACCCTCTCAACCTCGCCTGTCATGTGCCAGAGTCGGATCGCGGCATTTCGGCTTTCCCGCGTCTCCATCAGAACATCCTGAGTGCTGTCAGATGCGGTGCGGTGGAAAGGGAAGCGGATGCAATGGGATGGTATGGGTTGGAAAGGCGTGGAATGGGGTGAGATGGGATTGATTACGTCCATTGTTCATCCCTTCAATGTATGAACCTTGAAGTTTGCTCGCCACTTCCAATTCACCCTCACAACACAAATTCTATGGCTGCAATGGCTGCAACTTTCTATCCCTCCTTCCCCCGTTTCCTGTACGTTCTCTATTCGATACAATCCATGCGGTACACAGGACTCCGCTGTTTCCTCCTCCTCGCGACGTTTGAAGCCGGTCAACGTGTTGTATGTTCAACCCTTACACGCCGATCAGTTGTAGGTTTCTCTTGCTCCTCCATTTGTCACCATGGTGAAAAGCTACCATGCCGCCAGCTGTCGCCTTCCTTCCTGCCTGGAATCCGACCTGGAACAAACGCCACTAGATTCATAGAAGCACCTTCGCCAGTCTTGAATCGCCTTAGTATTGACGCGTCGTCAACTCCTAGAGTTCGTGCTCTTATGAGAACTTCCTGAGTCAAGCCATTCCCCTGAACTTTTTTCGATCGTTGGAATGACCGTTGGTAGTGCAACAACCATGGCGATCCAAGCCTGCCTGGAATCACCTGCTGAGACGGAGGCGAAGGATGGGTTGCGAACGAATGGAGTGCGAGGTGTAGGGTTTCTTTCAATCAGTACGAAACGGCTCAATCCGTTACAATCAACACGTGCCAACCAAGCCGCCAAATCAAGGTGGCGCTCTTTGCGACGGCCGAATTCACCAGCTTGTGTTCGCAGCGGCTTGGACGAACTAGCGATCTGTGCGTTGTTGCGGCTCGACGGAACTCGCATCAATGGCTGGAAATCACGCGGCCAGACTGCTAGTAGCAGCCAGCAGAGGAATTAATCGCGCGACGCGGATTCCCGATCGGAGTGCGCCGCCGCTCCTTGTGATTTAACTTTCGTTTTTAAGGAAGGTGATGATCGTCAGAACCATTGTGAGAGCTGGTCATCGTAATTCTGCCTAATTTACTGGGCTGAGCAACTAGGTTTCTAAGAGATAAACTCGCTGCCGAGCGTGCAGCTGCTGACGAGTGGTGCTCCGACCGCCACATAGCGGGAGGAGATTAAAAGCCGCCTCATAACTACTTCCAGGCAGGGAGCGCCTCATTTGTCGAGCTCTCATTGACCGTGGCGCGCTGAGACGATTATTCCGTGCATCTCGCAATAACCGTGAAGCTCTGAGGCGACTGCTACCAAAAGCTCGCGGTGACCGTGACGGGCTGACGTCATTATCATCAAAAGCTCACGGCGACGGTGACCCGGACGAAAGCGGAGAACGCGTGTCTGATGACGCACACACGGGTCATGATGCCTTCCCAACGGCCCCTGCTGGTGTTTCTGTGCTGCGTCGTTGTGGTCAGCCTCACTGGTATGTCATTGTCCGATGAGTCGTCTTACGTGAAATAGTTGAAGGTTCTAGTTCTTATGCCTGTCCGTCTCTGCTATACAGACAGGCAGTGATCATACACTGCTGCCTGTATGTTTGTGCTCTGGCAATTCACAGGAATGAGCATGATTCGGGCTGAATTCTGACTTGTTTCTCTGCTTCTTCTGCAGTGACGATCCTTATTGAGTCTCTTCAACACTCCCGACCTGTCCCAAATCCCCAACTCCACAGGAGTTCTCGCAACAGCAGCAGCGCCACCACCTCCAGCATCGGCATCATCGCTGGCATCGCGAGCATCAGAAGCATCAGCAGCATCAGCCGCATCAGCTGCGTCAGAAGCATCGGCAGCATCAGCAGCATCTGCAGCAGCACGGGCGGCAGCGTCCCGTGCTCCACCTGGTCAGGTGCCTCCGACATCTGCCGCGTCAGCAGCGTCGGCAGCATCTGCGGCAGCACAGGAGGCACGGGCGGCACGGGCGGCACGAGCGGCAGCGTCCCGCACTCCACCTGGTCAGGTGCCTCCGGCATCTGCAGCCCGCCAGGCCGCCACGTCATCATCACGTTCGTCGGTGCCATTGGCTCCCCCACAAGCGAAGCAGCAACCGTTGGTTCCAGAGGCACGATCCACATCCGTGCCAGCGGTAACACCTGCCCCTGTAACACCCCGAACGCCTGTTACATTCACGACACCTGTTTCCCCTAGAGCACCTGTAACATCTGCCGCTGTTACACCTGCCCCAGTTACGCCTGCCCCAGTTACGCCTGGAACGCCTGTAACATCAACGGTGGTTGTGACAGCAGGGAGGGGTGCTGCAGCACGAAGCACGGCCACACCAGAAGCTTCTGTCACAACAGGCACTCGGGCTACACCTGCAATTCCTGCTACAGCAGGCACTCGGGTTACACCTGCAATTCCTGCTACAGCAGGCACTCGGGTTACACCAGTGGTGCCTGTTACAGCGGGGGTTGGTGCTGCAGCACGAAGCACTGCCACACCAGAAGCTTCTGTCACAACAGGCACTCGGGTTACACCTACAGTTCCTGCTACAGCAGGCACTCAAGTTACTCCTGCAGTTCCTGCTTCACCAGGCACTCGGGTTACTCCTACAATTCCTGCTACAACCGGGACTCTGTCTACCCCCGTAGCCAGTCAACCGATGAGCAGCCAGGGGGTGAGCACCGCGCCTCTACGGGGGACAGTTCCTGCAGCAGTGTCTGCAACCGTACCTGCAACCGTACCTGCAGCCGTACCTGCAGCAGCGGCAACGACCGTTCCTGCAACCGTACCTGCAGCAGCGGCAACGACCGTTCCTGCAACTGTGCCTGCAGCAGTGGCTGCAACCGTGCCTGCAGCAGTGGCAGCAACCGTGCCTGCAACCGTACCTGCAACCGTGCCTGCAACCGTGCCTGCAACCGTGCCTGCCACCATACCTGCACCAGTGGCAACGGCCGTGCCTGCAACCGTACCTGCAGCAGTGGCCACTGCAGTCCCTGCATCAGTGCTTGGAACAGTGACTGCGACTGTTCCTGCATCTGCAGCAGGAGCGAGGGCAGCGGGAGTGTCTGTCCCCGCTGCTACCAGTAGCACGACTTTAGGGGCCCGCCCTTCGCCTGCTACAGCAGTGCCTGCGTCAACGCCCGTAAGGGGAGCGCCTGGAGCAGTGGCTACAGCTATGACAGGGGCGACAGCAACGGGTGTTTCAGGCCCCTCTCCTGCCAGTAGCACAGCTCTAGGGGCCCGCCCTTCGTCTGCTGCGGCGGTGCCTGTTTCAACATCTGTAAGGGGAGCGCCTGGAGCAGTGGCTGCAACTGCAGCAGGGGCGAGGGCAACGGGTGTATTAGGCCCCTCTGATTCCAGTGGCTCAGCTCTAGGGGCCCGTCCTTCTGCTGCTGTGACTGTCTCAACACCCGTGAGAGGCCACCCTTCCACTGCTGCTGCGCTGCCTGCCTCAACGCCTGCAAGGGGCGTCCCATTGGCTGCTGCTGCTGCTTCTGTGCCTGCCTCGGCATTCACTAGGAGCGGCCCGTCAAATGCTGCTACTGTAGCCGTCTCAACACCCACCAGGGCCCGCCCTGCTGCCACGGGGGATTCGCCAGTCGTCCTCCCTGCATCTTCCACTACTCGCAACCTCCCCACCCAGGTGCCCTCCCAGTTACCTTCCCCACCAACTGCTGCTACCACCAGCAGCAGCGGCAGTGGCAGCAGTGGGAGTGGAGGAGGGGGGTTGGGGGGTATGATGGGTTTCCTTGGCCCTCTGACGTCCACCTTTTCGAGGATGTTTGACGTGAATTGGCTCACGGGCACGTTCTTTAACATTGGCTCTTGGGTTTCCTCCCTGGTGCGTGGGCAGCAGTAGTGCGGAGTGGAACGGGTAGCGAAGACAGGCTGGAGGGCGTTGGGAGGAATGATGGGTTTCCTTGACCCTCTGACGTCCGCCTTTTCGAGGATGTTTGACGTGAATTTTCTTACAGGGACGTTCTTGAATATTGGCTATTGGTTCTCGTCCCTGGTGCGTGGGCAGCAATAGAGACAAGTATTGAAGAGTGACAGGATAGAGGATGTTTGGCGCGAACTGGCTCACAGTCTCGTTCTATCGGTGCGTGGGCAGTAGTAAAGGAGGGAGTGATAGGATAGGAGTGGCATGGATGCATGGTCGCTTGAAGAGGGAAATTATGATGTGATGTGATGCATATACGTGGCTGTTAGGAGCCTAGAGGAATCACACGATCTACGCAGTAGTGGCATGGTCTATGTATATCTCTTTGACCTTACATGTAAGGCTGTTGTCTCTGGTTGTGTGTCAAGCGGGTACAAGCTGACAAACCAGTCGGCGGCTGGGGTTCCTTTCACAATCTTGAGGATGCTGAGGTTGAAATAAATACACTAAACATATTGCGAATTACAACATAGCACGCCAAAAGGGAATAAACAACATCGAACCTTGCTAACAAGGTCCCATCTAATGGGCTACAACTGTTGAAACGCGCCCCTGTGTGTGTGGAGGGATGTTTATGCTGCACATCCAAGACACGGATTCCAGAGCATAGGAAAGAGACAGAGACCACGAACATTAGATGCATGGAAGTAGCAAAGACAGCTTTCTGGCTGAAGCTCTGCATGGAAAGAACTGAGCAGAAATAAATGCGGTAAAAAAACTCATGGAGTCCGGTAGTGCTGTGCAAGGTTGAAGCATACCAGTGGGCTCCCACAAGATAGTGGTCTCGGCAATCTTGCCCGTAACAATGTATGGGTCCATGTTGGACGATGGCCGCCTGTCCTCGAAGTAACCTGGTATGAGAGGGGCAAGAAGACAGGAGACCAGATATATATTATTAAGGTTGGTTCTACAGCACGCTGGCTCCCACAGGATGGTGGTCTCTGCAATCTTGCCCGTGACGATGTATGCGTCCATGTTAGACGATGGCCGCCTGTCCTCGATGGTATGAGGGGAAGGAAAAGGCGCCACGTTATAGAAGTAGGCAATGGATGCTCTGGAGTGGAGATGCGGAGTACGGTACATGCAAGCAAAAAGAGTCTCCGAGACAGAACATACGGTAGATGTGCATAGATTCAACAAATCTACGACTCACCCTTCTTCTGCGCCTCTGTGTCGCGACCCACACGGACTGAGCAGCCACGGTTGGCAACACCCTGAAGGAAGAGAGGGAGAAGGGACGGAGGGAAACAGGGAGGGAGGCCGGAATTGAAGGATCAGATCGTGAAGCAGAGGAAACAGCTAGTTCATTTAAACTGTTTCACCAGCTACGTTCAAAATAAAAATGGAAAGAAAGAAAACAAACAAAACGACGCGTTCGTACCCAGGAGAAGGTGTTCATGTCGGCCGTCTCGTGCTTGCCCGTGAGGCGGCGCTCGTTTCCCTCGCCGTAAGCCGCGATGTGCTCCTTGTGCTTCAGCCCCAGCTTCTCGATCGCTTTCACGATCAGATCGTACCCGCCCTCCTCGCGCATCGCCTTGGTGCTGCAGGCGGAGAACCACAGCAAACATCACAACAGAACCAATCAACAACAACGTTGGAATCAAAAGAAAGCTGGCCTGAAAAGGCAAAACTGTTCGGCGAACAAAAGACAAAAACGCATCATTTTTCAGAAACAAAACTGTTCAGGCGAGCACTAACCGACCTGTAGTTGGTATGGCAGCCAGCGCCGTTCCAGTCGCCCTCGATCGGCTTGGGATCCAGCGAGAGCACCACGTCAGCCATCTCCGTCACTCTCTCGAGCAAATACCGCGCCATCCACAGATGATCTCCCGCCTCGATGCCCGTGCACGGGCCCACCTGGAACTCCCACTGGCCCGGCATCACCTCCGCGTTGATCCCGCTGATCTTAATCCCCGCGTACAGGCACGCCTTGTAGTGCGCGTCGACGATGTCGCGGCCCCAGGCCTTGTCCGCGCCCGTGCCGCAGTAGTACGGGCCTTGCGGCGCGGGGTACCCGCCTGTGGGCCAGCCGAGCGGCCATTTGACGTCCTTTTTGAGGAGCGTGTACTCCTGCTCCAAGCCGAACCTGCGATGGAGGTTCGGGGACGCCGAGGCACGGATGACCGGGACACGGATTGAGATTGTGTGGGCAGATGGTGGTACGTGAGGATGCATGTGAACGTGAAGACTCCACGAGAAGGTAAATAAGACCACCTTATGAACGGCATTGTAGGAAAGCACTGCCTTGGCAGAAGGTGTAGAGCTTATAAGCTTCTTAGAAGGTAGGAAAGTAAGCACGGATGCCTGAAAGGCATGACGCACCAGGGCTCGTGGTCCTTGACCTTGTCGAACACAGCAGCTGCAAAGATGTGAAGGATGTAACCAAGCACGTCTCAAAAGTGACGTTCGGGAAGGCGAGACGAAACGTACCAGGGCTCGTGGTCCTTGACCTTGTCGAACACAGCAGCTGCAAATGCGCGCTTGTTGCTGGGAATAGGCTCTCCTTGCGGTGTGTAGCAATCGCACATGACCTGAGAGTGAGGACAGGAAGGCGAACAAAACAAAATTGTTAGAACAATCTGTATGCAAAACGGGATTGTATTAGAACAAGAAAAGAAAGAAAGAAAAAAGAAACGTGGAGAGCCATGCAAGTAAACGACCGCATCGATTCAACGAAAATGGCGCAGAAGCGAATAATGTTAGTGGAAATCTCTAGCAGAATGGCTTCTCACCAGAATGTTGTCGCCGCCGCGGAAGGGATCCTTGAACACGGCTTGAGGACTGCCAGACGATACCAGATAAACATAAAACCAGAGAGTCCAGTCACAACCCCGCACACGAACAGGAAGGAAAACGTGAATCCATGTCGACTTTGTACTTGTTTCTTCACCACCCAAAGTTCCCACGGGAACGAGCCTACTATGAAGAGCGGCGCCTCGTACTTGGTAACGGGAGGCGAGACTCACTAGAGGATCACTTCGCTGTCCGTGCCCGGAGCCTGGCCCGTGCTGGAACCGTCGAAGTTCCACTTGGGAAGCTTCGCCACATCGCCGGGGCCAATGGGACCCTTCACGGTCTGCGCGAGAATAAAAGGAGCGGGATTCAGAATGAAATTCGGCCTTATTAGATTACGATTTATTAAAAGCTTGAGACGACGAGCTTAGTGCGACTTAGGATCATGTTTGGATCATAAATTCTCGACTGAGGACTTACCCTGGCCTTGCTCCTGACATCAATTCCAGAGCCTCCAATCCTGGAAAATGGAAACGACAAAGTGTAGGAGCGTCAGATGAAGAGAATGAACACATATATCGTGAACGACAAAGCCAGATTGACAATCGAGGCTCACCAGACATATTCCGCGATGATTTCGCCGCCTGTGACGGGAAGGTTCTTCAGCTGGTCAATGGTAGACGCCATGGCGATGAATCTCTTGAGCCGGAGTCAACCAGCCTATAGAGTGCGACCGAACGAGAAAAATACACCGGCGATTCCGGAAAAAAAGCTGATGGACTGAGGCACGGAAGAAAGAACTTGGAGAGACCGATCACTGAAGAAGAATCTCGTTCTCAGAATAAAAATGTTGATGGGAGTGACACAGCAGAATAAATACGAATATATGGCAGATTTTTTCCTGGGAATTCCCAGCAATGAAATTCCGCTCGGGGATTTCCGCCACGGAAATATCATGGGATTGGGTGTCCGAATCGCTCTGGGCGGGGCGCAAACATGGAAAGGGGGGAAAGGCGCGGAACGCATTGGGCGCACGTGGGGGGGCAGACACTCCTGCTGCGGAGAGCTTCCCGCGCGACAGGCGAGCGCGCCTCTGGAAAAAGTGCATGGACCGCACGGGGGAGGACAGATGTGGCGGCGGTACGAGGCTGGCTGAACCTGGCGTCATACAGCTTACTTGGAGGCATGCCATTGGCTTGTTTTCCACGTGGATTACTTTAATTGCTTCCAATTCCCATGGTGGGCTACGCGAGTTTGGGAGTCTCGGCAGCTCGCGCTGGCAGTGGTGGCGCATTCCAGTGAGGCGCGCAGCGGCGACAACAATGCCTTGCTGGAATGCGCGTGCCTTGGCAAGCGCGATTCAGGGCTTCACTGTAGCTGCGGTAATGGATGCGCGATAGAGGCACACGGCTGCAGGGGGGAAAGCTTGGCACTACTACACCCCCATAATGTGGAAAAATCAATACCTATGGACAACTGGAAAAATACTCTTTTGGAAACTTGAGCAGCAGGTAAAATATGTAACTGCAAAGCCAATAGAATGAAAGGCAGCATGCGACATGGTGTGAGCCGGTCACAGCTTTGAAATTACCTAGCCTAGCGCTTATCATATTCTACCATATTTCAAAACTGCAGCTCCAGAAACAAGAAACTGGAATGTAAGCAACACACTTTGAGCTTGATATGAAATTTTACTCCCACCTCTTCCATAGATGATTCTTCAATCCCTGTTCCACACAAGAAGCAAAGCCGAGATACATATCACATTTAATGTTCATTAGCACAACGATGAAACACCACCTTCACATATAGCATAAAGCAGTGGTTGTATGGCGCATGTGAACACCTTGCATGTGGCCACCTTGCATGTGACCACCTCGTTGACCAATCACTCACCAGTATTTGATCAGTCCATCCCAACCCCACGTGGCCACTTAGCTGGTCTCCAGAGGGTGCCACTCACACCCGATGCACACCGAGTCAAGGCACTTCACTGTGCGAAACAGACATTTTACCCTAACAGAATACAGCATTTTTGGGACATGCAAACAAGTATCTCACCAGTATTTGATGAGCCCATCCCAGCCGCACGTGGCCACCTTGCTCGTTTCAAGCGGGTGCCATTCACGCCCGATGCACACCGAGTCGTGGCACTTGACTGTGCGGAACATTCAAGACAAGGTCCACTGTACTGTGCGAAACAAACCAATCACTCACCAATACTTGATGAGCCCATCCCAGCCGCACGTGGCCACCTTGCTGGTTTCAAGCGGGTGCCACTCGCACCCGATGCACACGGAGTCGTGGCACTTGACTGTGCGGAACATTCAAAACAAGAGCCAGTGGACTGTAGCAACACACATACAACTTACAGTAGCAATCGCTACAGTTGACGAGACACTCACCAGTATTTGATGAGCCCATCCCAGCCGCACGTGGCCACCTTGCTTGTCTCCAAGGGGTGCCATTCACACCCGATGCACACCGAGTCGTGGCACTTGACTGTGCGGAACACCTTGCACGTCTTCCAGTCCCAGAACCACAGCTTGCCCTCGCCGTCGCCCGACATAATAAAGCGGCCGTCCGGAGAGAAGTTGACCTGGTGTGGGGATGAGGTTGGCGATGGGGTTGGCGTGTTAACATGGGGAACTCAAAGCAACAGCTTGCCTAAGGATTGAACTATCAGCCCATCCCCCTATATCTGTGTCTTCCCAAGCCTGACGCTTTTGAGCCTGTCACCCCCAAGCCTGTCACCCACAAGCCTGTCACCCCCAAGCCTGACACTCCCAAGCTGTCCCCAACCATGTCCCTAGAACCCTGAGAACACCCACCTGGCAGGCGTATCCCGCAATGATGTGGCCTGCGAACCGCTTCTTGCGGTTGAGCCTAAAGCAGTCCTTGGCACCATACACGATGATCTGGGTGTCCAACGACTGCGCTGCCACCCGATCCCTCCATATACCTCAACCCCCCATGCCTGCTCAAGCCTGATCCCCCCATGCCTGCTCAAGCCTCATCCCCCCATGCCTGCTCAAGCCTCATCCCCCCATGCCTGCTCAAGCCTCATCCCCCCATGCCTGTCCCTCCAATCCCATCCACCCACCTGGCAGGCGTATCCAGCAATGATGTGGCCGGCGAACCGCTTCTTCCTGTTGAGCCGGAAGCGATCCTTTGCACCATACACGATGATCTGATTGTCTAGAGACTGAGCTGCCACCCATGCCTTGTTGGGATGCACTGCTATGGCCGGCATGGAGTGCATGTGCGGCTCACTGGTGTGGGTCGGAAGCAGTGGGGGAAACAGAGGGGAAAAAGGGGAAAAGGGGTACTCCTTGTATCCACACCACACCACACAGAGAAGCAAGAAATCCCACACTCCAAGACACGCAGAGACTTTCCGATGACTATAGTGCCGACTTAAAACAGGGCGGGAAGCACAGAGCAGAGCAGAGCAGAGCAGAGGTCGTTACCTGATATACTTGACCACCACGGAAATCCCAAACTCCCACACGCGCAGGGACTTGTCGTCGCTGCTCGTCACAAACCGCCGATTGTCATCCAGGAATGTGATTGTGTTCACCGCTCCCAGATGCTGGTCATATTACTCCTAGTAATCGTGCTCACCTGACTGGATTCATGCCTTACCTGATATACTTGACCACCACAGGGATTCCAAACTCCCACACGCGGAGGGACTTGTCGTCGCTGCTCGTTACAAACCGCCGATTGTCATCCAGAAACGTAATCGTGTTCACCGCTCCCAAATGCTGGTCATATTCCTGGGTAATTTCCCCTGACCGCGTGTCCCACTGCATGATCTTTTTGTCGCTCATCCCCGCCAGCAGAATGTTCTGCTTGTCGTCGTCCGGGTGTAATTTCACCACGTAGGGTATTTTACCCGTGGAAAACGTCCCCGTGACCTGCCCGGTCTCGGTGTCCCAGAGCTTGATGTTACGGTCGTAAGCGCACGAGACGAATTTCAGCCCGTCGTTTGCAAAACAGATGTCGCGTACGGCCTTGGAGTGACCCATGTATGTGCGCATGCACTTCTGTGTGTTGGGCACGTCCCAGATCTTGATTTTGGTGTCCATTGAAGCAGACAGCAGCAGATGGCCGTACCTGATGGGACAGAGGAGAGGATGAGAATAAGGAAACAGAGTAGAGGAGAGATGGGTGGGGCGAACGGGGACGTAGGTGCTGAGTAAGGGATAGAGAGGAACGAGAAGAAACAGAGCATTGCACCTACGATACTCACTTGGGGAAGAACCGGATGGCACTAACACCCTTGGTGTGCCCACTCCACGTGTGAATCCACCGCTTCGGAATATAGCAGTGCGTGGGCGGCACGGGATTAAGGACGTCTTTAGGAGGCGCAATCCACGATCGCCCCTGATAGTCCTTCTCCTGCTTCCCGTGGAAAGTACTCTTCTCTTCCACCTCCTCCTTGTCTCCCCTCTCCTTCTTGGCTTTCTTCAAGGCATGCTCCTCGGCGTATTTTTTTTGCTCCTCGGTCAGCTCCGCCTTGGGCTCCTCTTTTTTGCCTGCCCAGGGGGATTTGGAGCTTTTGAGAAGCCATGATTCTGACGCCGGATTGGCTAGTTCTTCTTCTGGTGCCTCCTCCTCCTCCTCCTCTTCTTCACTCTCTTCCTCCTCTTCTTCTTCGCTCTCTTCTTCCTCCTCCTCCTCTTCCTCCTCCTCCTCCTCTTCCTCCTCTTCTTCCTCCTCTTCTTCTCTCTCCTCCTCCCTGCTCTTCTTTGCCCTTCCTTCACCCTCGTCCTCTTTAACACCCTTCCCTTGCCGCCCTCGCTTCTTTCCCTCCCCTTCCCCCTCCCCCTCCCCCTCTCCTCCTGCTCCCTCCTCCCCTTCCGCTCCCACCTCCGCCCCCACATCACCCTCCCCCTTCCGCTTCTTCTTGGAAGCCTTCCTCGCTTTCTTTTCCTCCTTCGTCCTCTTCCTCTCTTCCTTCTTCGCTCTCTCCTCCTCCTTCCTCCTCTTCTTCTCCTCCTTCCGCTTCCTCTCCTCCTCCTTCCTCTGTTTCGCCTCCGCCTTTTTCCTCCTCTCCTCCTCTTTCACCGCCATAGCCCGCTTTTCCCGCTCCTGTTTAGACACATTATACACTGTAGCACCCCCCTTATTGTCAACCGCTTCTTTATCACCCACGACCTCGGTCCCGTTTACACTTGCAGGGTCAACACTGTAGCCGTACGCCTGAAACGTGTGGTACTGTTCATCAAAGACAAAAGAGTCCACCGCTGCGTCTTGGACGGATCCCAGCCGGTGGTTTCGCAACCCTAACGCGCGACCGTCCGCGTTATGAGGATGCGCGGGTCCCACTACAGGAGTCCACAGCTGGTCGTAAGTCGGATTAAACTGTAAATTCCGTTTCGACGGGTCGATGGGAGCTGTCAAGATATCGCGCGGTACAGCAGCGAGTAACGCGTCGCTCACTGGCGGAGCGGCGGAACTAGGAGGAGCGAGAATCCTGTACGCCATATTGTCATCGTCGCTATCGTTATCGTCATCTGCATGAGGATCTCGTGAAGCCGCCATGTCAGCAGTAACCCCAGCGGAACCAGTTAGCGTTACACCAGTACCCGTACCAAAAGAGTGCTTTTCCCTAGGCGGAGAAGCCGTTATCGCGGATTTCTCTCGCGGCGAATCCTCCCCTCCCTCCTCGTCACTGCCGTACTGTCGCGATAAGATATCCATGGCTGAAATCAAGCAGGATTTCCAAACCTAAATTGCAAATGAAGCACGACTTGCAAACCAGCTGCACGGCTGGAAACCTAAATTTGCACGAGAGAAGACTACTCCAGTCCTGGGAAACACGTGCTAATAAATCACTCACGAAAAGCCGACTTAACTACCTGCACGCGGTGCGAGCTAACTTGCTAGATCATAAGCGACACAGCACGAACAGCGACACAAGAAGCCAAGGCCGCCATGAATGAAACGAAGATCGAAGCAGGTGAGGGAAACTGTGACCCGGACCTCCTTCCTGGACGTGTTCGCAATAAGCAGGTCCCATGTAGGTAGATGTCAGGTATCCGCGAAAACATACAAACGCAACAAAATGTACCAGCTTTCTAAGAGGTAGCAGCAATACTCACTATGATGCATTTATCATATATATATTGTGATTCATGAAAGAAGCATATCGCATATTTACGCACAGTATGGCATAATAGATTAAACTATTTAATTCCATACACCGAATGAACAATAACCATTTTCTCATTTGTGCCATTTTACATGAATCTATAAATATGTAGCTGGCTCGGAATCTGCTTTCCTCCACGTGTATATCCAGAGTTCCTCCATGGGATGAATGCCATTCAGCAACACCCAAAAAGCATCTCGACGTACCCCGAACCCCTCGACCCCCATTCAGCCAGTGGGTGGCCCCTTGGCTTTCTCTACCCGCAACAAGTAGACTCCCACCCACTTTCACTTCATAAAACGCAGGTGGCAGATGGCCGTGTAATTTTTAGGACGCGTCAACTCCCAGCACTTTGGGCACATCGATCCTCCGTAGGATCGATGTGCCATATATACAGTACATTCACGAGCTAGCGAAGTGTCTTGTTTCCAGTTTTCGTCAGGTTTCTCCATTGCACAGTAAACCGGCCAACACTCCCGATGTCCCCTCCGGATCTCGGGACACCTTGCCACCTGCCACACACCGATCGTGGCATTTCGGTGAGTGGGAGCTACAATCGCGCGCTAGTTGACAGCCGCGATCGATCGGCGTCGCACATGGTAACACACACTTTGCGAAGCACAGAGACAGTTGGGAAACACACTTTGCGACGCACTGCGAAGGCGGATTTGCAGCATGCGACAAGCCAACCCAGCAGCCCCCGACCCTGCAAATTACCCTAGTCAAGTGTGGCTCGATGGTAGGGGTACACCGCCGATTTGCAGGTGGAGCACACCGGTGTGCACATCGATTCTGCCAATATCGGTGTGCACTGCCGATCTTGCCTCGATCCTGATACATTGCTGGGAGTTGACGCGTCCTTAGTTCGGCCTTTCTCTTTCTTCCCCTGCGTAGCTTCCACTTCGACTACTTTACCCTCGACAATCCCAGACATCCCTCCGAGGCCGTGCTTCTTATCCGCAGCCATGGCCGCTGGAGCTCGCAGACGTGCATCTAACATTGTAAGCTGGGGCCGGTATGATAAAAGCTGACGGTCTGTTTTCGAGATGCAAACGCGATCAGCCGTATATTCCCCTGTCGCTCGAACATGGTTCGATTGGCGGGAGGGGCCCCCATACGGCGCACATTGAGGCAGAGCGAATTTGAGTCGTTGGCCGAGGGTTTATCCCGCTGAAAGCTCGCGAATAATCGTTCCCCACACGTACATGTCAATTGTGGTCATCTATCGGCTAGGTTCCTCTCGTGACGGTGGCCCCTGATTATCTCTGCCATTTCTGACATCCTCTCGCTCCTCTTTTCTGTTGATGCTTGGAGCAGATAATGAAGCAACAAGTTTCGCATCTATCCTGCACGTGATTATTAAGAAAAAGCTTGTACCCTCGCATTCGGTACGTATATTGGTACGTATATTCGGTACGTATATTCGTTGCGCATTCTTCTCAGTACTATATGCTCGTTGACGAGTCATGTTGTGCTGATTAGCGGAGGAGGCAGTGATGATATCTATAGATCACAATCCTTACTGTCTGAGCGCAAATCTGATGGCGGAATCTAAGGGTCTGAGCCTCCTCCGTGTTCGGCATCAGTATCGGCGTCGTTCTGTGCCTTTTCTTTATTTCTTTCAAAGTCAACTTATTTGTGTGTCGGTGATTTACATGTCACACCTGCTGGTCCACAGTGATGACTCGATATATACCCAGCTCGCTTCGAGCTGCTAAGCAGCGCTGAAGAAAATTATTCGTTTCCACTCACGTAACTCTGTCTGAGTGGACCTTACAAGTGACATGTCATACTAGTTTCATGTCTGCCCGTGGTGGAGTGCACGCAACACTTCCATCCGCCCTTTGCTTACATCAGAGGTTCGGCCATATCGTTGCAACAGCAATGTTTCGGTGGTGGCCGGGGCTTGCTGGTTCTGCTGATCGTTCGGTTGGGCCGGATCGTTCCCCTCGGGGTTTTCGCTGCCCTCGTTTGGAGGAGGCGAAACTTTATTGGCCACTTTCGACATTATTTGCCGTGTAAATATCATTTCTAAAACCTCTTCCTCTTGCTTGGTGTAACTTTCGCAGATGGCATTGCGGTCTGTCCAGGTTTCATGCCGGGGTCCGTGCTCCGTTGCAGCATTGGTTCTTCGTCAGTGGATGCGTGCAAGATTAGACGCAGTCACAACCTAAGATGAAATGGCGACGTCAGCACTGGAGAATCCTTGTGGATGATGGTCATGGCTGTTTAATTTACGAAGCGTAAGGTGTGTATTGATGCCCTGAAGATTTTCTCTGATTGTGCTGTGGGTCCTCGTCAACTGTTTCTTATCACTCGCAGCGACATGAGGAGATTCTTTAATCTCGCGTTGAGCCATTTGTGGCGGTGATGCTTCCACGCATCTAACGTCTTCAAAGTTCTCTGATCGCTGCTCAATTACCGATCTCTTAATACCGGCTCAATGCAACCCATGTAAATTGTTGGTGCGACTCTGGTTACGTCGTATTTTTCAAGCTTCATTAAAAGTTGGCCGCGAGTGTTTTCAGTCACCTGTCGACCCGTTCCCTGAAGCGAGAACGGCGGGTCTTGGGGGGAGTTCGAAGGCCCTCTTAGGCGCAACCACCGCTCGTGGCTCGCTATCCTGCCGCAGCCTCCTGTCTGCTGGCCGGACGATTGCTTACGGGACATCACCGTTGTACCGGTTCATGAATGTGGTTACCACCACAAGTATGGTGTATAATCTTTGTCTCTTACTGTCCCTTCTTTCCCTATGCATTCACAGACTCGTTACAAGATCACTAGATCTGAAAATCATGATGAGCTCCTGATATACGTCACGTCATTGATCTGGATCTGTGCTTGATTGCCGCCGCTGTTGACAAGGTGAGTTTAAATCTGTTGTCATTGGTGGGAGCTCCTCATTGTAATTGCCATGAACGATCTCCGATGCCCTCTTTATCGAGGATATTGTGCTAAGGGATCCCCACGTGGCACACATTACTGCCGTACAAGCTGGCGAGGTTTAGCTGCTGGTCGGAGTGGGTGTACCCCCAGTGGGTGTACTCTCTAGGATTTACTGGCTGACTTCCTCTCTACAAGCACAATGAATTGCTGGCTCAGTTGTGATTTGTCACACACCTGTGATTGGCCCTTGGCTCAGCTGTCCTCAGTTCCTCTGGTTCTTGCTTGCAGGCTCTTCTTGCTCTGAGGCTGAGGCTTACCTGCTGGCCGCCTGTGTGCTGTCTTGAACAGTCATGGGCTATCCGCCATGATTCTGGAATACATGTTCTTGATCCGTTTTTCAGTTTGTCTATAATTTACTGGAAATTTTGTGGGCTCTGGAGATATTAATGCCTTTTTGGAAGCCTCTACGGACACAGGATGTAAGCAGAACAAATAGAAGGATATGACATATTGGTGTGGTATTTTACAACTTGCAAGATTCATTCATCACTCACAATATGGTACCCGTCCATTTGCCCTCAGATTGTTTAGTAGCCAGTTCCATTTCAAGCCAAGCGAGGCAGTGCAAAGCGATCCTTTTCCTCTTTTGTGCTGCTGCTCCTGCTCACCACTCACCAGTGTTGGGAGCAACATACCCACATTCACCCGCCCATTTGTGTCCCTCAGATTGTCAATCAGCAGGTTCCAGTTCAAGCCAAGCGAGGCAGGGCCAAAGGCCTGCTGCTCCTGTATGCTGCTGCTGCTGCTGCAGGAAATCAACCCACTATCACCAGCAGTCCTCCTCACCATTCACCAGTGTTGAGAGCCACATACCCCGCACTCACGCGCCCGTTCGTGTCCCTCAGATTGTTAATCAGCCGGTTGCAGTTCGACCCGAACTGCCCGGCAAAGAAATCACACTCGGAAGCAACGAGCAGATTTGCTGAGCTCACCATTCACCAGTGTTTAGAGCCACATAACCTGCATTCACCCTCCCATTCGTGTTCCTCAGATTGTTAATCAGCCGGTTCCAGTTCGACCCGAGCGGCCCGACCAAGAATTCACACTCCGAGGCAATGAGCAGATTAGCAAAGCTGACCCCCACCAGCTGCTCCAGCCCCGCTGCCTTCTCATATTCCAGCATCTGGGTTGACCCAAGCTGGCGCTTGTTCTTGCTGTACAGGAAGGTCCAGTCGCTGTAGGTGCCCAATTGGTCAATGACAGACTGTGAGGATGGTGTGAGAGGCAAAAGAAGGGCAGCAGAGGGAAGGGAGAAAGCATCAGGGTCGTTCCGAGCTGGCGCTGCCGATCCTAGCTGTCCAGTTAGTCAATGACAGACTGTGAGGATGGTGTGAGAGGCAAGGGAAGGTCAGCAGAGGGAGGGACAAGGCAAGAGGGAAGGGCAAAGTGAGGGGGCATCAGTAGGAGCAGCAGAGGGGCGGTAAGCAAAGCTGACCCCCACCAGCTGCTCCAGCCCCGCTGCCTTCTCATATTCCAGCATCTGGGTTGACCCAAGCTGGCGCTTGTTCTTGCTGTACAGGAAGGTCCAGTCGCTGTAGGTGCCCAATTGGTCAATGACAGACTGTGAGGATGGTGTGAGAGGCAAAAGAAGGGCAGCAGAGGGAAGGGAGAAAGCATCAGGGTCGATCCGAGCTGGCGCTGCCGATCCTAGCTGTCCAGTTAGTCAATGACAGACTGTGAGGATGGTGTGAGAGGCAAGGGAAGGTCAGCAGAGGGAGGGACAAGGCAAGAGGGAAGGGCAAAGTGAGGGGGCATCAGTAGGAGCAGCAGAGGGGCGGTAAGCAAAGCTGACCCCCACCAGCTGCTCCAGCCCCGCTGCCTTCTCATATTCCAGCATCTGGGTTGACCCAAGCTGGCGCTTGTTCTTGCTGTACAGGAAGGTCCAGTCGCTGTAGGTGCCCAATTGGTCAATGACAGACTGTGAGGATGGTGTGAGAGGCAAAAGAAGGGCAGCAGAGGGAAGGGAGAAAGCATCAGGGTCGATCCGAGCTGGCGCTGCCGATCCTAGCTGTCCAGTTAGTCAATGACAGACTGTGAGGATGGTGTGAGAGGCAAAAGAAGGGCAGCAGAGGGAAGGGAGAAAGCATCAGGGTCGATCCGAGCTGGCGCTGCCGAACCTAGCTGTCCAGTTAGTCAATGACAGACTGTGAGGATGGTGTGAGAGGCAAGGGAAGGGCAGCAGAGGGCGGGACAAGGCAAGAGGGAAAGGCAAAATGAGGGGGCATCAGAAGGAGTAGGAGAGGGGCGGCACGTACGCCTTGAACCTGCTCATACCTGCTTGCACCTTTTTGTACAGCTAAACCATCCTCTCAACCCCCTCACCTGCATCTCGGTGCTGAGCCACACATAATGAACATCCTGCACTCTGAGTCTCAGCCTCTGTACGTGCAGCATGTACGCTTTGAACAAGCTCAGCCTCATCTCCTTCTGCTTGTCCGTCCTTGTATCTGATTGTTCACTTACCTGCACTCCCACACCCCCCCTCACCTGCATCTCAGTGCTGAGCCACACGTAATGAACATCCGGGACCCTGAGCCTCAGCCATTGCACATGAAGCATGTATGCTCGGAACGAGCTCAGCCTCATCTCCTTCTGCTTGTCACCTTGCTTGTACCTACTTGTACTGTTTCTCCCGCTCATCCACCCTCCCACCCACCCCTCACCTGCATCTCAGTGCTGAGCCACACATAATGAACATCCGGCACCCTGAGCCTCAGCCGTTGCACGTGCAGCATGTAGGCCTTCAACGAGCTCATACCTGCTTGCACCTTTCGGTACCACTCGTCCACCCTTTCAACCCCTCTCACCTGCATCTCTGTGCTGAGCCACACGTAATGAACATCCGGGACCCTGAGCCTCAGCCGTTGCACGTGCAGCATGTACGCTTTGAATGGGCTCAGCTTCATCTCCTTCTGCCTTTCCCCACCTATACCTACTTCCACCTGCTTGTACCTGCTTGCACACATCACTTTCGACTATGCGTTCCCCTCACCTGCATCTCTGTGCTGAGCCACACGTAATGAACGTCCGGCACTCTGAGCCTCAGCCGCTGCACGTGCAGCATGTACGCCCTGAACGAGCTCATACCTGCTTGCACTTTTTTGTACCGCTCATCCCCCCTTTCAACCCCTCTCACCTGCATCTCAGTGCTGAGCCACACGTAATGAACATCCGGGACCCTGAGCCTCAGCCGTTGCACGTGCAGCATGTACGCTTTGAACGAGCTCAGCTTCATCTCCTTCTGCTTGTCGCCCTGCCTCACATGCACACTCACCACTGGCCGTGGCATGTACACCTCCCCGCCCACTCTCCTGTACACCTCCTCCTCATCCTCCCCCTCTTCCCCCTCTTTCCCATTTCCCTCTTTCCCCCCATCATCATTGGGGGTGCAACCAGCAAACCCGATAGAAGGCCATGTGCTTGTAGCGAGGCTGTTTGTATCGAGGAAGGAGATCGACTGCAGAGAAGCTGCTTCCTCAGTGGCATTGATGGCCACGCTGGCAGCTGCTGCTTCTGCTGACGTGGATGCTACTGCTGATGTGGAGGCTGCTGCTGTTGCTGACGTGGATTCGGCTGCTGCTCCTTCTGATGCTGTAGTGTCGCTCGGTACAACTCTGGACTCATCCATTCTCGTTGCATCCACATTAGAATCACCGCCAGCTTCACCAGCAGCATCACTGGCGCCAGCAGCATCACCAGCAGCATCACCAGCAGCATCACTGGCACCATCAGCAGTGGAGTCAGCAGCAGCACTAAGAGAGTCAAGAATCCTCTTCTGAGCTGCTCGTGACTCCTCTATCCGCACTGCCACGTGGAGCCCATACGCCTGCTGCCGCACCCTGTTGCTGACGTGGCACAGGTACGCCGACGGCCACCTCAGCATGAAGCGCAGCGACTGCGACCGCCACCAGTGCACCTGGCAGTTGTTGGGACATGGGGCAAGGGAAGAAGAAAAATACGTGGGGGAAAGGTTGGGAAGGGGTATCAGTACCTCTTGTTCCCGTACCTGCTGTTCCCGTACATATTGCTCCCATACCTGTTTTTCCCGTACCTGTTACTCCCAAACCTATTGCTATTATACCTGTTGCTACCATACCTGCAACTACCATACCTGCCTCTCCACACATGCTGCTCCCGTACCTGCTGCAGCCTCGGAACCGAGGCCTTCACACGCCCCCTCACTTCGATGCTGCTCCCACAACAGCCGCTCCCATACCTGCTGTTCCCATACCGTACCTGCTGCAGCCTCGGAACCGAGGCCTTCACACGCCCCCTCACTTCAATGCTGTTGCGCCGCTTCAGGTACGCCAACCCCCACAACCTGCCGGGAGACGGGCATGCAGGGAGATGGTTGCCGGTGCAAGTTTATGGCCACAGCAGGTGAAAGACATTTTCCGCTAAACCAGTAACGGGATGATATTAAGCAGCTACTATGCATACCGTACTGTAAGCTGATTTTTAAAAAATGCATATACTGGATCGAGGAACTACTGTAGATACCAGCTACTGTACATATCTCACCTGGCAGCGCCAGCCTCGTATTTCAGGTGCAGGTAGTTCCCACAGAACCTCACGATGGGCCGATCCGAGCCCAACAAGGCCCGCACGTTGCTGTGATCCGCACATTTCGTCCTTACATACCACTGTGCTACCCGAGTGGGAAATTCCTCACCTCACAGCGCCAGCCTCGTATTTCAGGTGCAGGTAGTTTCCACAAAACCTCACGATTGGTCGATCTGAGCCCAACAAGGCCCGCACGTTGCTGTGATCGGCACACGCCCCCTCCCACTCCTTCCCCTCCTCTGCTTCTCCCCCTTCTCCTGCTGCCCTTCGTCCTGCCTCCCCCTCCTCATGTCTGTCTTTATGCCCCCCACTCCCTACCCCGCCTCCAGCCTCCCCTCCTCCCCTCATCACCCCCCTCACTCTCTCCTCGCAGCTCTTAGCAACCAAGGGGAAGAAATAGCAGTCAAACGAGTTTAAGTTCCCAGCTGCTAAGCACTCGGAGTGGTTGGCTCTTAAGTAAGTGCCAGGAGTGGGAACGAGAGTGCGGTTGTGAGTCAGCGCGAGGCTTAAGTAAGCGCTCATGATGCTAAGCTGAGAGCCAATGCCGTGCTTCCTCTTCGGCCAATCCACGACGAAGAGCCGCCGCCCGGAGCAGGATGACGTGGCAGCTGCTGAGGTGGCAGCTGCTGACGTGTCATATGACGGTGATTGGTTGGGGAACTGGTGCAGCCAGATGTCGGCCTGTGCTTGGCGGGTCGCTGCCAGGTTGGCAGCATCTGAGCCTCGCACCTGAGAGAGCGAGTGTGACAATAACGGGGATGGGAATACTGAGGCAATTGGGGAGGATGATATTGAGGGCGAGGGGGCGGAAAGAAGGGGTCCGCGAGAAGGCAAGCGGAGAAACCAAAATTCAAGACCCCTTAGAACTGCATCACCATACCCTCACCGGCCCCCTTCCCCTCTTCCCTCGCCTCTCGTTCTAAGAACCCACCCTCCCCACATTTTGTCTCTCCCTCCCTTCTCCTCTTCTCCCCTCCCCTCCCCTCCCCTCCCCTCCCTCCACCACCCCCTTCCCCGCTCTCCCCAATACCCACACCCACCCACGGGGGTTGCGGGTACCGGCACCCGCCCCGCGCGCGCGTCCATCGCGGCGGCTTCCCGTTGAGTCCGCGCATCTCCGTTTTCAGGCGCTGCGCCGTGCGCGCCGCGCAGTCCTCCAGATGCGGCGCGGGGGGGACGTTGGGCGGGAGGGCGATGCGCGACGGCGGAAGGACAGAGCCTGCCGCCAGACCGTAAGCGTCGGTCCACGCCTAGGAAAAGGGGAGAAGGGGGGCGCGGGGAGGTCAAGGTGAGGAGGGGGGAGCCGCGGAAGTTAACAGGAGGGAGAGGGGGAACGACGGAGCCTGCTGCCCGACTGTAATCGACAGTCCACGCCTGTTATAACAGGGATGCGGTTTGAAGGGAGAAAATTAGGCCTGTCAACAGTTAAGAAAAGTGTTTCATAAGGCCGACTTGAAAGTCTTCTTGTTTTCTTTTACCTATCTGATCATTGTAACTGCCGTGGCACAAACTATCTGCCATGGCAGGCGTCTCGGACAAAGGACGTCGAAATACGTTTCCGATATTCCACCTTCCCGATACATTTTGATAGCTCGTGCCATGTTGTACCCGATATAGAGCGAGCGCACGCTCGAGGCTGATCCCGCCGCCCCTCCCGTCTCCCGCTGTATGCTGACGGCCCTGAATTTGCCCCGAGTCACCCCACAGTCTTATGCCACGTGGCGTCGCCTCCGCGACTTTGAAAAATTTCATTGCCGCGAAAAAATAAAGAATGGTGAAGAAACTACGTCGAAGCGTGCATTTCCATATCGGTGCATGATTCGCTGATGCCGCCCATATCATGATGACTCGCAACGTTCCTGCCCAACCTCTCTACTAACACGTTCTATCGCTTCTATTCGATTACACTCGCGTGCAAATTAAGAATGATAATGGTGGCCTATCAGGAGTAGAGACGGATATTCGAGGTGGACAGTGAGAAGCTGACCATGCGGCGTGAAGTTAGGAAATTATGTCGTTTGACCTCGTTGGGTATGTTCCACGTCACGTGTTTCTCGGGATAGTCAAATTTTGCCTAGGGGTAATCGCGACAACTCCGAGACACAAGGGCTGATGAAGGAGAAAGAATTGAGCGACATCAGCAATGAGATGTGACCTGTTGGCGAAGAGGAATGTGTGACTTAGGGCGTGTAACTTTTTCTCTTTTTGACGGACGGATGGCCCGTACGGATTTTGAAGGGGTTACTAGAATCGCCCACTTTCGTCAACTATTTCTCCACATCCCGTGCGACGTCGCCAACGTCCGTACCAAAACTGTCACTTTCACACCTCCCCAGCGTCCGTTCAACCATTCTGACACTGTCCGGACAGCCGTCCGTACTGTCTTACTGTTCTGGCATCCCATTGGCGCACGAAATCAGAATCGCAGCTTTCTGTGCGACTCGATTTCCCACGCCCGATTGCCAACCGAATTTGACGTGGCACCTTGTCGGGGCGCGGATTCGAGTTGGGCGACTTTGACGAGAGGGATGCGACCGTGGTAATGTGTGTTACTTGTCGCATGTATTTTAAATTTCGAGAACAGAAAAAGTTCCACAAATGTGGTACGGGCCTCGTCCGTACGTTTGGGGGGCTCCGACCGTACTTTTGACGTAAACTGAATAGGTTACACGCCCTTACGATTTGCTGTTACAGTCGATGCTCACCCTATCACAAAAAAAATGCTTGGCACAATTACAAATTTACTCACTCGCGCCTGTGAGGTGACTGAATTGAGCATTATGAAATTTTCGCTGTACTGTCACCTATGTGCGGAAGTCAACATCTACAGTGCGCAAACAACAAAAGATACACGTCACCAGAGTGGTGACCTGGTTACGAAATTAAAGCCCTACATTCCACTTTCATTGCACTTTCATTTTTGAGTCACAATTTTGCCTGGGGCGACGAGAGCGAAAGTACTGGCGAACGAGCGAAGTACAAAAGACTCGTTTCACTCACATGCCGCCCGCCTACCTGGTGTTCTTGTAATGGGCATCAACTGTACCATTGTCCCGCCGGATTCGTTGCGCCTGTCACATCAGCGGCTCCGCCTGCCATGAGACCCGCATCGCGCGTCCCTGACAATCTGCCATACATCCATCCATCGCCACCGAGTTCCGCGAAAGATTGGAACGAAGTGGATGTTCGGCTACCACGCCTGGTGTTACTTCGCCAACCACCCATTATCCATAGATAATTTTACGGTATGGGTAGGAGGCTCGGGCAAAATTGTCAGAGCATTTATATTCATCTGTCCTTCCCATACTTCTGAGAGTTCATCTGTCACTGATATATAGATCAACATCATCTTGTCTTCTCCACTCAATTAAACAGAAGGTCCATGAGCACCACCAGCAACATGCTTCTTCCTCATCTCCCAATAACGCCACCTAATCTTATCCACCTTTTGCAGCTTCTCACACACAGCTTTAGCTGCCTCCACGCATGAAATACCCACACCACCACCAGTATCATCCTGGCTCAACCCTAAAACTGAACCCACTTTATCAGACATGCAACCCCGACCAAGCACCAAGAGCAGAGTCGCTAACGCATGAACACAATCCGGTTCACTTGCCAGCACATCCACGCAGATTCCAAGAAGCTTCACATCACCTTCCGTACCCACACCCGCTGCTTCTTTCTCCTGCAGGCGAATCAGCCCTTGGAGATACCGCCAAGGGCTCTCATTGGACGGAGCAAGCCAGATGGCGGTCACTGCAAACGCCACCTCGTCATCCACTGTTACTGGTGTAACCCTAGTTTCGGAATCCTTCTCCTGATTGGCTCCTCCTCCCACCTGTTCTGCTCCCTGCTTCTGCTTCGCTATAAGATGCTCCAGTACAAACATTCTGTGGTTCCATGCTGAGTTGTTGCGCACATCATCGTCCAGCAGCTTCTCACAGAACGCCAGCTCACCATGCCACGTGTCGAATTCTCTGGCCACCCATTGCCTGTGGCACCACGCGTGGTAGTTCTTTGAATCTCCCTGCAACGCCGCCTCACAAAAACGAAATTCTTCCAGTGCCACCTCAGCTATTGACCGTAACGGAGGTTGCTGTAACGGGGAAGCTGAGTTTGGGGCACATTCCTGCTCCTGCTGCTGTTGATGCTGCTGGTTCTGCTGATTCACCTGTTTCTGGCGTCTGGTAACCCTATCTTTGCGAAGAGCAGCCAACCAGCGGCGATGGTGCCACACCTGATAATTCTTGGGATTCGATAAAGTCACATTTTCAGCGTAAAGAACCTCATCCTGAACCAGCCAATCGCCTTCATCCCCTCGATTCTTATCCAATGACGTGGACGCGGGCTTCGATGACGTGGCTTCCGGTTCGGCTAACGACAGCAGATGCGTGAGAACGTCACGTCGGAGCTGCCACGCGGTGTAGCTAGCAGCGTTGACGGAGATAACGCGCTCCGTCAAGCGCAGGACGCGCGCGCTGCGCTCGCCGGACGCGAGAACGGCGCGCATGAGGCTCATGGCGTCGTCGAACTCGCGCGAATACGCGATCGGCACGACGGGATCCGGACCGTCGTCCTGCGGTAGCGGCTGCACGTCAGCCCACTCCTCGCTGTCCCTCAGAAGCTCCATCTCGATTTTCGATCCCGAACCTCGATCCTTGATTTTCGATTCCTGAAATGGTTAGATCGTTCTGGGTCTGCTCGATCGTGCAGAGTATTCGACGAATGGTAGAAGATGAATGTTCAACGTTCGCGCAAATGTAAAAGGACTTGTGTTTTAGTAGCCGAAGCTGTTCGCGCGAGGCAATAGTTGGCCAATAGGAAGGTGATTTCCATCGCGCTAGGCATACATCTATCTTGTTCCTTGTACTCGCTACAATCAGTGTTAGAAAAGAACAGATGTAGAGGCCAAGCTAGATAGACAGAATACGAACCATTCAGTATCCCTCTGATAACCTACATCATCTTGCCTCTTGCTGATACACAGAGTGCAATAATTCCGCCGAGCACAGAATTCCTTCGAGGTGGTTAGATAATGCAAATCAATGCTCGATTTTGCCTGTGGGGCTGCCGTGCTCCTCCCCTCCCAGCTCTAGCGGCCCATCAACCTTGTGACGAGCCCGCCAAGTGCGTCTGACTGTCAGCATGGATTTCAGCAGAATGGGACCTCCTCCTCACGGCCCCCCACTTGGAGCTGCCACTGTTGCCTGTGGGACTGCCTTGCCCCCCACTCCTCGTTGTAACAACCCATTGAACTTATGAAGGGCTAGGCACGTGCAATTGAGTGTCAGCAAGAGTCTCCGCCTGCTGTGCCTCCCTCCTCCTCACGCTCGCACACTTGGGACTGCCACTGTTGCCCGTGGGATTCCCTTGCACCTCAACTTCCATATCTAGCAAGCCATCAATCTTGTGAAACGCCAGGCACGTGTGATTGAGTGTCAGCATGAGTCTCTGCATGCTGCGTCCTCCTCCTCCTCACGCCCCGCCACTTGGGACTCCCACTGTCACCTGTGGGACTGCATAGCTCCTCCCCTCTCCCCATCTCCCTCCTCTCTCCCCTCTCTCCAGCCTCATCCCCCTCTCTACCACCCTCAGCCCTACTCACTCCCTCTCCACCGCCCTCAACCGCACTCAGACCTTCTCCACCCACCTCAACCTCTATAACTCCCCCCCCCACTTGCACATCTCGCCCGCTCACCATCAATCTTCTCCTTGTCCCGACCTCCTCTCCCCCTTCTCCCTCACCTCCTCCCACCCCTCCACCTCCTCCTTCTACCCCTCCCCCTCCTCCCCTCCTCCGCCTCTCCCCTCCCCCACCTCCTCCTCCTCCTATCCGTCTCTTCTTTCCTCCTTCCCCTCGTTCCCCTCTTGCTCCTCTCGCCGCTCGCCCACTCCCCTCCTCCTCACTGGACAAGCTCCACTCCTCCCCATCATTCGCATTCACCAGGTCTCTATAATTCCTCTCCCTCCTCTTCCTGCCGCTGCGCCTCACTCCGGTAGGTGTCCCTTCATCTCCTGACCCTGTTGCAGCAGCAGACGCGAATGCTGCTACAGAGCCAGCAGGAAGGGGTGAAGCAGCAGCGCTAGCATGAGCAGCAGCAGCAGCAGCAGCAGCAGCAGCAGCGCTAACATGAGCAGCAGCAGCAGCAGTAGCAGCAGCAGCGCTAGCATGAGCAGCAGCAGCAGCAGTAGCAGCAGCAGCGCTAGCATGAGCAGTAGCAGTAGCAACTGTGTTTGGAGCAGCAGCTACAGCCGCCTCACCAACCCCGCCTCTTCTTTTCCTCGAACCAGAACCCGAAGGAGGGGAAGAAATTAACGAATGTGCCGCTTCTCTTCCCTCCCACCTCCCATTCTCACCTCCCTCCTGTTGTTTCCTACCCACTCCCACCCTTCTCCTACCTTCTGTCTTCTGCCCTCCTTCTGCCCTCCTCCTCCCTTCTCCCCCACTCTTCCTTTCAGCCTTAGCCCTCCCTGCCTCCCCTCCTCTCCGCACAGCCCTCTTTGTCCCTCTGCTTCTTGCAACTTGTGACCCATTCTTGCTGTTATGTCTCCTGCCTTGCGATCCCACCACATACTCCTCTTCTTCCTCCTCGTCCTCCTCTTCCTCCTCTTCCTCATCCTCTTCATCCTCCTCCTCTTCCTCCACCCCGTTTTCCCCCTCTCCCTTTCCAGTCCCCCCTTCCTTCTCCTCTCCTTCTCCTAGCCTCCCAGTATTCTCCTTCACCCCAGGTATCTCTATACCATAAGAAAAAACACCACTCTTAACCTGCCTTTTGCCCGATTTCCCCCCCTTCTCATCCTCCCCTCTCTTCTCCTTCGCCCTTACCCTCTCACGCCCTCTCCCCTTCCCGTCTGGTACCCTCCCCGCCACCCCTCTTTTCCTCCTCTCTCTCGCTGCGCTCTCCTCCTCTTCCTCATAGTACACCACCTCCCCCTCCACATCCCCAATGCTGTCCTCGTTATTAGCATCCCCAGTACCAGCATTAGCTTCAGGAGCACCATTAGCAGCAGCCCCATCAGCACCAACGTCTTTAGCAGTGGCACCATCTCCACCATCCCCACTACTAGCACCAGCACCACCACCATCACTTAAACCACCACCAGCACTGGTTTCCCTGCTCTCAACACCATTTGCCTTGATATTCGCACCCTTTACTTCCACACCCTTTGATTTCCCTGTGTCTCCTCTCCTCTTTGCTCTAGAACCGATTTGCTCATTCCTATTGTCAGCGTTTGTTAATTCCTGCCCTTTCACTTCTTTCACCTTCCCTCCCTCTGCTTTCACCTGCCCGGGCTCTCCACTCCCCTGCCCGTTCCCTTCCTCCATACCTCCTTCCCCAACCCCTTCCTCCCGCCTCTCCTCCTCCCCGTCCTCCTCCAAAATATCGGCATAGCTCCGCCGTTTCTTGGGTCGGTGCCTGATAGGCAGCAATGGGAGGAGTGGAGAGTGGGGGATGAACGGGGTGATTGGGCGTAGACGGGTGATGGGAGGGCGTGGGGAGAGGAAGGATGTGAATCAGGTGATGGGGAGGCGAAAAACAAAAGGCAGGGAGGTGGAAAAGGGGGGAGAGGGAATCAATTCCAATCAATTTCACCTGAGCAATCTCAACGGCTGGATATCAATTCCATTCGCTACACGCCCCCCCTGAAGCTCCCGCTCCCCTTCTTTAGACCCCTTTGCTTCTTTCAACGGCCCCCTTAGGCCTTTCGCTACCACCAAAGTCCTCCTTCCCCCGCTTCTCCTTTTTCCTCTCCCTCCTTCTCGACCGTCCATGTGCATCGTCTTTCCTAACCTTCCCAGATACGCTTCTCCTCCCTTCCTCGTGCCCCCCCACCTTTCCTTCCTCCTCCTCCTCCCCCTCCTCCCTCTCCGCGTCCCACTCTTCCTCTTCCCCACTCCTCCCTCCTTCCTCCACACCCCTCCCCTCCTCCCCACTCCCCTCCTCCCCACTCTCCTCCTCTTTAAACGACACACCATCAGGCCTCCTCCCTCCCCACCTAGTCCTTGCCCTCACTCCCCCACCCCCTCCCTGCATCCCCTCATTCCCACCCAATTCCCCTCCCACCAAGCCACCGCCTTTTCTCCTGAGCCTTCTTCTCCCATCCCCTTCCTGTGCGTCTAAGCTAGGCTTGGCCTCGATGCATCGAGCCTCCTTCACTTCTTTTGGCCTAGATGCAGCTTCAGGTTTTCTTCTCTTCTCCTTCCTTCTTCTCCCCACTCCCCCATCCACTCCCCCATCCACTCCCCCATCCACCCCCTCATCCACTCCCTCCTCCATTTTCCCTCTCACACTCGTCCCCTCTCTCACTTCCTTCCCTCCTCCTGTCGCCTCTCCCTTCCTCGGCTCTCTTTGACCATCCTTGTTATTAGCTTCTTCACCACCACCACCATCCTGTTCCTGCTTCTTCCTCTCAAGCCCATACTCTTCATCCCCCTCTCCCTCATCCTCATCCCCCTCCTCGTCTGCCTTACCCCCCTTCACCTGTCTCTTCCCCTCCTCTGCATCTACCACCGTCCTCTCTTCCCTCTCTTCATTTCTCTCCACCTTCTCTCCCTCACTTTCTGCTTCTTCCTTTTCCCTCTCCTCCTGCCCCCTCCCTTCCTCCTCATCTTTCCCTAGCACCCCATCCTCGTTATAATCCCCCACATAGCCTCCTTTTCGTCGCTTCCTTCCCTCCCCTCCCGATCCTGTCAAGCACTCATCCATTGCCCTATCCTCCTCCTTCCGTCCCTCCCTCAGTCCTCTCTTCCTTAACCTCTGCTCCCTTTCCCCATTTCTTTCCGCTTCTGCTCTTCCCACTCTCCCCTCTCTCCCCTCTCTCCCCTCTCTCCCCTCTCTCCCCTCTCTCCCCTCTCTCCCCTCTACCCTCCTTCCTTTCCCAGATCTCTCTTCCACCTTCTCTTCTCTCACCTTTCACCCTTCTCTTCCTGTCCTCATCCTCCTCTTCTTCCCCTTCCCCTCCCTCCCTCCTCCCTTTCTGCGTCCCTTCATTCTCCTCACCATCACTCCCATTCCCATCAATATCACCACTCTCGTTCCAATCACCATCACTACTATCACCATCCTTACTATCACTCTCCTTATCATCACCCTCCTCCTTCTCACCATCCCTGTCCCCTCCACTTATCCGCCCTCTCCTCTTCCCTCCTTTCCCATCCTTATACAACCCTTCATCTGGTTCCCCAGACCCCTTTCCCTCTGCACCCTTCCCCACCTTCTCTTCCATCTCTCCTTCCCCATATGAACCTTCCCCAGACGTCCCAACTCTTAAACCATCTTCCTCTCCTCCTCTTTCTCCTCCCTCTTCTTCTTTCCCTTCTCTTCCTCCTTCCCTTTCCCCTTCTCCTCCTCCTCCTTCACCTCCTCCCCTGTCTCTCTCTCCCTCCTCCTCCTCTCCTCCCCTCCCTCCTCCCACACCCCCTTCCCCTCCTCCATCCCCCCCCACACCACTACCAACCGCATCACTGCTAGCAGACAAAACGCGCCGCCCTGCCAGCTGTCGGAGGCCCTCGCGAGTGGGGGCGTGCTCGGGAGGAAGCTCACGGGATTTGGAAGGTAGCGTGATGGCATCGTTGATAGAACGATCAAAGTCATCTGAAGGGGGAAAGGGGAAGAGCGGGGGCAAAGGAGAAGAGGAATAAAGGAGAAGAATCTGAGAGGAGAATCTGATAGAATGGTCAAAGTCATCTGAAGGGGGGAAGGGGAAGAAAGAAGGAAAGGGGAGGAGGGAGGGAACAGAGAAGGAAGGATCTGATATGCGATGGAAGGTAGTGTGAGGCATCGTTGATCGAACGCTCAAAGTCGTCTGAAGGGGACAGAAGGGACAGGGAGAAGGGAGAAGGGAGGAGGCGAAGGGGAAGAGGAAAGGGAAGGGGACGGGGACGGGCAAGAGGAAGGTGGTGAGGTGACATTGCCTTGACACAGACGCGGGATTCTTGAATCAACTGATGAGATTTGGCAGGTGGTGTGACAATGATGGTGGCGGCAATGGACAATGATGGTGGCGGCAATGGACAATGATGGTGGCGGCAATGGACAATGATGGTGGCGGCAATGGACAATGATGGTGGCGGCAATGGACAATGATGGTGGCGGCAATGGACAATGATGGTGGCGGCAATGGACAATGATGGTGGCGGCAATGGACAATGATGGTGGCGGCAATGGACAATGATGGTGGCGGCAATGGACAATGATGGTGGCGGCAATGGACAATGATGGTGGCTGGATGGACCCACCAACGGTATGGAAGATCAACACGCATGCACGCACCAAAGGTGTAGGTGACTGGCTTCCTCTCCCGTCTCGATCGACCCAGGGCCAGCCCCTCCCCGTACCCCCCTGCGTACTGAGAACCTCACCAAGGTAATAAGCATGTGGGTATCAGGATCAACCAATCAAGAAGGCACGCACCGAAGGTGTAGGTGACGGGTTTCCTCTCCCGCCTCGATCGGCCCAGGGCCAGCCCCTCGCCGTACCCCCCTGCGTACTGCCCCGCTGCTGCCATCGTTGCCGCTAGCTGTGCTGCCAGCTGTGCAGCTTGCCTCTGCTGCCTCTTTGCGTGCCGCTCCTTGCGCTGGTGTGAAGAGGAATGAGGGGTGAAGGGCAGAGAAGAGAAGACGGAAGAGCGAGGTGATGACGTTCTAGATGACTGGCTTCCATTCGGATCGACTCAAAGGTTGCTTGAGAGTGAGAGTGGATGAGAGTGAGCGAGTGAGAGAGACTGATAGAGTGAGAGTGAGAGTGAGTGAGTGACAAAACAATTCCATCCCTCCTCACCTTCTCTTCGAGCTCCACTTTAGGAATGGCCTTCTCTGCCAAGCGATCCGCTATAAGCTGATCCGCGTTATGCACACTGGCACTGAGTTCGTCCTGCAGATACAGCCAAGGCATGCAGCAGAAATTGACACCGTTATAAGCTGATCCGGATCAGGCAAGGAAGATAAGCATAATATCTGTGTCTATTGAAAAGTCACCCAGGCGAAACAACTTTAGGTAAAAAGTTCACCCAGGCACTTGAGGCGCCTGAAAAGCTAAAGGCACTCGAATTTTCAACCAAGTTCCAACAAACTCACCGCAAGAGCAGTGAAGTCTGTGAGACAGACAGCTGCAGTGGAAAACTCGCCACACGCAGGTAGCAGGCACACCGGTCGGGCTAGTATTGGGGTACCTCAAACAGGGAGCTTTTTAAAAAAGTGACTCACCGCGAGAGCAGTGAAGTCTGTGAGACACACAGCAGCAGTGGCAAACTCGCTACACACAGGCGGCAGGAACACTGGCTTGGCCTTTTTCTTTGCCTTCCTCTTGCCCTCTGCACCAGCATCAGCAGCAGCCGCAGCTCCCTTCCCCTTCTTGCTGCCACCCTTGGCAGCAGGCTTGGAAGCAGGTTTGGCAGCAGGCTTGGGAGCAGGTTTGGAGGAGGGAGGAGGACGGAGAGTGCCGGACCTGGTTCTCGTGCTCATGCCGTGGCGAGTGGGACGGGCGCTTGAATCTGCCTTAGCAGCAGCAGCAACCGTATCTTTTTTGACAGCGATGGCCGAGCCTTTTTTTGCAGTAATGTTAGAGGCGTCTTGAGCAAGGGTAGTTGAGTCGTGTTGAGCAGGGATGCTTGGATCTGCGTCAGTTAGGTCAATCACAGCTGCATCCTTCTCCTCGTCCTTCTCCCGCTGCTCTTCCTCCTTCTCCTCCTCCTCTTCATTTATTACCTCCTCCACTTCCTTCACCTCCTCTTCCTCCTCCTTCTCTCCACGCTCGTCACTCTCGTCAACGCCACCTCTATCGCTCCCATCCTCCCCCTTCACCTCCCGCTCGCCTTCCTTCCCATCGTCCCTCTCTCTTCCCTCACAATCCTTCCTACCAGCCTCCCTGCCACCTCGCCTCCTGTAAACCCTCTCATTCTCCTTTGCTTTCACCCCTCCCTCCTCCGCTTTCACCCCTCCCTCCTTTGCTTCCACCCCACTTTCCTCTCCTCTCGCTCCCCCCTCCCCCTGTTCTGCCTTCACCCCCACAATAGCCTTCAAGCCACCGATAGCAGCTAGACCACTCACTGAATCCCTATCATCCCGCGACTTAATACCATTTTCTCGTGATGACTCCTTAATACTGCCTCGTGATAACCCTTTATTATCGGGACTCCCAATGGGCGATTTTAGCAGTAAGTCAACTGCAGTGGCACAAGACTTAACATCACCCAATCTGGTTCCCACACTGATCGCAGTAACGCTGTCAGCAGCAGAGACTTCGAGCGCGGAATTGGGTGGTGTTTTAGATTGTAGGGGATCGGATGGTGGTGTTGGGCTAACGGACGGCTCAGATGCTCCGGCTTTGCCAGATGGGGCCTCCTTGGCCGCTGATGCATTATCACCGCCAGCAGCAGCAGAAACATCCGCTTCAGCAGTAGCAACATCTGCTGTCGCTACTGTACTTGTTGCCTCTGCTGCCCCTGCTTTACCATCAGCAGAAGCAGGCTGTGTGGCAGGTACATCTGTTCCAGCAGTAGCTGACACTCTTGCAACATCTGCTGTCGCTGCCTCTGCTGGCATTTCTGCCTCTGCTACGCATGTTTCATCTGCTGCCCCTGCTGCTATTTCTGCATCTGCTGCCCCTGTTGATTTTTCTGCATCTGCTGCCCCTGCTGCCTTCCCTGCCTCTGCTTCCCCTGCCACTTCCTCACTTCTCAACGCATGAGGCTTGAGTACAGCACCGTCTGTATGATCATAAGAGCTTCTGGTCGCTTGAGTAGGCTCAGCAGCTTCTGTTTCATCTTCAGCCTCAGCTTTAGCAACAGTTTTGGCATCACTTTTTCCAGCCTCCGCGTTTGCTCCTTCCACCACCACTGCTCCCGTCTCTGCAGGAACAGCAGCATCTGTATGATCATCAGAGCTTCTGGTCGCTTGAGTAGGCTCAGCGGCTTCTGTTTCATCTTCAGCCTCGGCTTTAGCAGCACTGTTGGCAGCAGTTTTCCCAGCCTCCGCCTTTGCCACTGTCTCTGCAGGAACAGCAGCATCGGTGTCATCATCAACACTTGTGGCAGGCGGCTGAGAAACTTGTGCCACCGTGACAGCTACGGGCTCGGCTTTAGCAGCACTTTTGGCAGCAGTTTTCCCAGCCTCCGCCTTTGCCACTGTCTCTGCAGGAACAGCTGTGTCACCATCAACACTGGTGGCTGGTGGTTGAGAAACTTCGGTGACAGCTTCAGCTTCAGCTTTAGAAACACTTGTGGCAACATCTCTTGCTGTCTCCGCCTTTGCTTCTTCCACCACCACTGCTGTGGTTTCTACGTGACAAACAGCAGCAGCGGCATCAGCAGCAAGAGCAGGAACAGGCGCGTTAGCAGCAACAGAAGCAGCCGCTTCAGCTTCAGCAGCAGCGGCAGCAGCGGCAGCGGCGGCAGCAGCAGCAGCAGCAGCAGCAGCAGCAGCGGCGGCAGCAGCGTCAGCCTCTTCCTGTGTGATGAAAACAGGTGGGCCCTCTTTGAACAGCCGATGACCCAACACTGAATCGTTGCAAAACCTGGAGGCCGGGAGTTGTTGATGGGAACCGGGAGAAGCAGGATTGAAATTGGGCACAGCACAAGAGAAAGCAAAGTCAGCACCGGCAATAACAGCAGCGGAGGCAGCAGCATCAGCCTCTTCTTGAGTGATGAAAACAGGTGGGCCCTGTTTGAACAGCCGATAACCCAGCACTGAACCGTTGCAAAACCTGAAGCGCGGGTCTGCAAACACGGGGGTTGAGAGGGGTCGAGTAGGAGGTGAGAGCAAAGAGAGTAAGATGAAATGGGCATGACAAACAGGTGGGCCCTCTTTGATGAGCCTATGGCCCAGCACAGAGTCGTTGCGAAATCTGAAAGATCAGTTGAAGATCTGAGGCACCTTCAAGGCATATCAATCCTTCCATCCATACAGCACTGAACCACACAGCACCAAAATGCACCACGCAGCACAACACTGCACTGCACTGCACTGCACTGCACTGCACTGCACTGCACTGCACTGCACCACAGTGCACCTACCAAAACACGTGGTTTTTGGCGTCTACCCCAAACGGCTCCATGCGAATCTCCTCGGGGTTCCTCTTCATGGCTGCTTCTATCACCACTCGCGTGTCCTCTTGCTGCGCGGTGGGGATGGGTACAGCGGGGTTAGAGGGAGGTACAGAAAGACTGAAGGATAAGCCATCAATCTCCTAGGGGTTCCTCTTCATGGCCGCTTCTACCACCACTCGCGTGTCCTCTTGCTGTGCGGTGACGGGATGGACGGGATTTTTAGAGAGGTAGAGAGGAGTGGAGAGGAGTTAAAAAGGCAGCAATCTCCTCGGGATTTCTCTTCATGGCCGCTTCTATCACCACTCGCGTGTCCTCTTGCTGCGTGTTAGTGGGAGGGGAGGGGGGAGGGGGGGTAGCCGCAGGAGTGGGGCAGGGAGGGAGGGGCACGGGGTTGGGTTGGGTGCAGGGGGTGGCGAGCGAGAGGACATGGGGATGCAGGCACCAGCCATCACATGACAGGCCATACTCGACAACGAATCATACTCGAGAACGAATCATACTCGAGAACGAATCATACTCGAGAACGAATCATACTCGAGAACGAATCATACTCGAGATGAACGAATCATGTTACTTAACTGCTAAGCACAACACACATCTCTTAACTCACATCTAGCCGAATCTCGCAGAGGGCTTTCAAGATGCGCACGCGGTCAGGCGGAGGGAGCGACGCGTAGAGCTCCGCCTCAGCCCTGGAGTGGGGGTGGGGGCGTGTGGAGGGGAGAGGTGGGGGGAGAGGTGGGCGCCTGGGGGGATCAAGATGCGCACGCGGTCATGCAAAGGGAGGGAGAGAGCGACACATAGAGCTCCGCCTCAGCCCTGGAGTGAGGTTACCGCGTGAGGGGGGACGAGGTGGGGGGGACGAGGTAGGGGGACGAGGTGGGGGGGACGAGGTAGGGGGACGAGGTGGGGGGGACGAGGTAGGGGGACGAGGTGGGGGGGACGAGGTGGGGGGACGAGGTGGGGGGGACGAGGTGGGGGGGACGAGGTAGGGGGACGAGGTGGGGGGGACGAGGTAGGGGGGAAGAGGTGAGGGGGACGAGGTGGGGGGGACGAGGTGGGGGGGACGAGGTAGGGGGACGAGGTGGGGGGGACGAGGTGGGGGGACGAGGTGGGGGGGACGAGGTGGGGGGGACGAGGTGGGGGGGACGAGGTAGGGGGACGAGGTGGGGGGGACGAGGTAGGGGGGAAGAGGTGAGGGGGACGAGGTGGGGGGGACGAGGTAGGGGGGACGAGGTGGGGGGGACGAGGTGGGGGGGACGAGGTAGGGGGACGAGGTGGGGGGGACGAGGTAGGGGGGAAGAGGTGAGGGGGACGAGGTGGGGGGGACGAGGTAGGGGGACGAGGTGGAGGGGAGGAGGAGGGGGGAGAGGTGGGCACATGGGGGGATCAAGACGCACACGCGATCGGGCAGGGAGTGCGAAGCATAGAGCTCCACCTCAGCCCTGGTGCTCTATGGGGTAAGTGACTGTGGGGAGGGGGCGGGGGTGGGAGGGAGGGAGGTGGGGAACTTTTGAGACGTCTCAAAAGTAGAGCTCCACCTCAGCCCTGGTGCAAGGTAAGTGACTGTGGGGAGGGGGCGGGGGTGGGAGGGAGGGAGGTGGGGAACTTTTGAGACGTCTCAAAAGTAGAGCTCTGCCTCAGCGCTGGTGCAAGGTAAGTGACTGTGGGGAGGGGGCGGGGGTGGGAGGGAGGGAGGTGGGGAACTTTTGAGACGTCTCAAAAGTAGAGCTCTGCCTCAGCGCTGGTGCAAGGTAAGTGACTGTGGGGAGGGGGCGGGGGTGGGAGGGAGGGAGGTGGGGAACTTTTGAGACGTCTCAAAAGTAGAGCTCTGCCTCAGCGCTGGTGCAAGGTAAGTGACTGTGGGGAGGGGGCGGGGGTGGGAGGGAGGGAGGTGGGGAACTTTTGAGACGTCTCAAAAGTAGAGCTCTGCCTCAGCGCTGGTGCAAGGTAAGTGACTGCGGGGAGGGGGCGGGGGTGGGAGGGAGGGAGGTGGGGAACTTTTGAGACGTCTCAAAAGTAGAGCTCTGCCTCAGCGCTGGTGCAAGGTAAGTGACCGCGGGGAGGGGGGGGCGGGGGTGGGGGGGGGAGGTGGGGGCACGAGACGGGGGGACGAGGCAGGCACATTGGAGGAGAGGTGGGCGCATGAGGGGTGAGAAGGGCAAATGGGGGAGAGGTTGGGAGGAGAAACGGTCCTTATGAGAGGGGCATAAGGAGCAGGAAAGCAGGAGCGAGAGTTGCACAGAGTGCATTCTAAGCCAGAAAGAAGCCACTTACCCTTGACAGGAATAGAGAGGGCAAATCCCTGGTGCCACCTGGTTTGAAACACACGGAAACACAGGAACACACACATTCGCACGCACACAAGGAAAATCGCGCACACGCACGCACGCACAAACGTGGAGATAGGACGTTAAGAGGGAGGATAGATCGTGGGGAATGAGGATAAGTTTTCACTTGCATGCTAGGGAAGGGAGGAGGGACAGACGCAGAAGCTTCATGCGTGCATGTATGCAGTATCTGCAGCAATGCGTTGTTCGTGGCATGCACAGGCATGCAAACTCCAAAGGCATGCATGCACTACATACATGGCGTGCATGCACCACACACAGGCACACACACATGGCATGTATAGTGTATGATTCATGGATACCTGCGGCCATGTGTTGTGCACGCGACGGCACACCAGTGTGGCCCATGTGCGATGGTCCGCTGGTGGACGGTTGAACGGTTGAATGCCCTGCAAGTGATTGGGGGGGAGAAAAAGGTTCAGTGTTCTTGGCCCAATTGTTTGTATCTGGTCACGAGTTCAAACATGAACCGGGAAGAGCAAACTTTGGGTGCTCCATGATTATAATTGATATGCTGTGTGTCCGAAAGCCTGAAAGCATGAAAGCCTGAAAGCCTGAAAGCCTAAATGCCTGAGAGCCTGAAATCCTGCATGCCTGAATGCCTGAAAGCCTGAATGGCCGAAAGCCTGAATGCCTGAAAGCCTGAATCCTTGAATGAATGAATGCCTGAAAGACTGAATGCCTGAGTGCCTGAGTGCCTGAACGCCTGAAGAAACGATGATTTTTGCGAAGTGAAACCACTGGCGAAAGACAGACATTGTCAAAAGGTGACCACTCTACTGATAAGCATCGACAGGCTGATAGCAGATGCCAAGCGCTGCCGCCTACAGTACGCCGACTAACCCTAACGGATTCCGTCAACCGAACAAGCGCTACGTAAAGGAAATAACGCTGCGTTACGTTAGGATGGATGCCCGACGCAACGACGAACCGCCATACGGCAGTGATGTCAAGTCGCGTGGCGCTGCGAGCAAACCCTAGTCACCTTAAGAAGTGTAATGTGTATGTCTTTAAGTAGCGGAGACGGCTCCGGGGTTAGCAGAGCCGTTTCGATGTCTTCGGCTGTAGCGTCGATGCTAAGCTGTAGCGGCTCCCGGAAAATCTGGGAGAAAATCGTGATGGATTTGGGCAGGAAGGAGAGAATGAAGCATGAGCATATTGCGAAAGCAGCTGGTAAGAGGTATCAAAGCGACGACGCGCGATGGATGCGGAGGCCATGATTAGCTGATCGCGGCGATGCGACGCGGGAGCGCGACGCGAGAAAGCCTGAATCGCCATCTGCGCACATTTGCCGCTGCGGGAATTGGGCTTCGGGATTCAATATAGCGTACGAAATCTATCCAATATAGCAATAAAAAAAGGAAGACGGTGAAACGTTTTCATGCTATCATACTACTGTACTAAGGGCCGGTAACCGCGGAAAGTCCTGTTCGCAACCGTGAAATCAATGGCCAGGCCACGCTTGTTCCACGCTTGCGACGCACGAACGCGAGTAATTACTCTGAAAAAATCGAGTATCGAAGCAAACTCCCACATGCCGCGAATCTCGCTACGATCCCACCGCCGGTCCTTCGCCTCCTTAATCTCCGCCGCACGCGGCGCGGGGTCTACCACCAACAAGCCAGCTTCCTTTCCCACTGAAACCCCGGTTTCCATGGAAACCGCTTTCCTGCATATGCTAGAATAGTCTTACTATCACCGCAAACGGCGCGAAAGAAGCGATTATGATCGTGCAGTCGCGCGCGAGTATCGAGAGAGGAGCGATCAGAAAAAAGACGGGAGGGGGTGAGTGTGTTACTGTATTGCTCTTGCAATGCCACAATCGCGTACAACGACTCAAGTCACCTACCAGTGGTTGTAAAGAACTTAGTAACAAAGCAACCATAAACAAAGAACAAACTCAGCAAGAGGTTTATTAACAGAACATTTGCGATAATCCAATTGGCCCTGTCGAATTCGCACATCCGGAGTCAGCAGTATCATCACGAACAGTGGTCCATCCAGTTAAGCTGACGGACACTATCTACAAACCATACAACACGCCTCCAATCTACCATCTCACCACCACATAACACAACACCACAAATTATGGTATTTTGTCGTGTCGTCTACACTCAAGCTGCTCACACGGCTAACTCCCTTACTCATAAGGACCGAAGTCCATGTTCGATAAATTTTTTAAAAGACATTCCCCTGAATCCTTTCTCACGTCTCGCAACTTCTGGTTTGGCATTCACCAACTCCCTCCACCCCACTTCCTAACAGCCCTCACTCATTCTCCTCCCATCACTTTCCCTCCTTCCCTCCACCCCCCTCCTCCCCCGCCCCTCCCTTCCCTTTTTCCCCTCCCTTCACCTCCCTACCATCCTTCTCTCCTACTCCTCCTGGCCTCACTTTATCCATACCACCATCAGTGCCACCACTACCAGTAGCAGCGTCGACGCTCGATTTTCTCTTGACCGCTAAACCCCCATTCCCTTCCCCTTCTCTCTTCCCTTCCTTCTCCTCATCCCCCTTTCCCTCCCCTCTAGCTTCTCCCCTCTCCCTTTCCTCCCTCTCCCTCTCTTCCCTCTCTCCTTTTTCTTTCTCCCCCTTCTCCCTCTGCCCCTTCTCCCTGGCCACTGTCCCTTCACCTGCTTCCACCTCTTCCACATCACTGACCGAAGGAGCACCTTCCTTCTCAATAACACCTCCTTTCCCACTTGTACCTTCCCCAGCTGTACCCTTCCCAGCTGTACCTTCCCCAGGAACACCTTCCCCAGATGCACCTTCCCCAGTATCCCCTTTCCCAGCTGTACCCTCACCAGTCGTACCTCCCCTTGGCTGGGCCATCAGGGGCAAACTACCAGCTCTGCTGCCAACAGAGTGTTCGAAAGCACCTGCCTTCTCTTCATCTGCCTTGTCTTTATTTGCCTTCTCTTCAACTGCCGGTCCCCGCAACTCAGTAACTGTCAGACCCCCTTTGCGTCCCTGTTGCCCCTTTTCCACCTCTCGCGCCTCTTGACTCCGTTGCCCCACTTGCAAAGCAGCAGCGGTCTTTTGACCCTCCTCCTCACCCCTCAAACTATCCTTCTGCGTGTGCTTATCTTTCCGCTCACCCATATCCTTGACCTTTTCATTCTGCCTCTCACTATCTCTCTCAACCGCAAGATACCCATCCGTTGACACACTCTCTGCATCACGCCTCTTTGGGGAGACGGAGCGTGTTTCAACCTGGCTTAACTCATGCTGCTTCGACTGAGTTGACTGAAGAGTTGACAGAGTTGAAAAGTCCTGTGCTGAAATCTCCTGTGCTGAGCGGCCGTGCCCTTTTAAATCCCCTTGTTTCTGGCTTTCGGTAATGTTCTCTTCCCCTACAGGTCCCTTCACGCCCGCAGGTCCCTTCCCCTCTCTGACGGCTCCTTCGTGTTCTCCCTTGTCATTGCTGCCTCCCGGATCCTTCCCACTCCCACCTCTCTCTCTTCCCTCCTGCTTCTGATTCCTTGCCCCAACTTCTTCTACCTCCATTGGATCATTTTCCTTTTCCTTGTCCTTCTCTCTCTCCCTCTCCTTCTCCCAATCCTTCTCCCTCTCTTTCTCCCTCTCCCTCTCCTTCTCCCTCTCCTTCTCCCTCTCCTTCTCCTTCTCCCTCTTCCTCTCCCATTCCATCTCCCTTTCCTCCCTATTCCTCTCCCTTACCCTCTCCCTCTCCTTCTCCCTATCCCTCTCCCTCTCCCTCTCCCTCTCCCTCTCCCTCTCCCTCCCATCTTCCGTTTCCTTCGCCTTCTCCCTAGAAGCTGCCCCATCAGTCCCTGTGAGGTATCTCCCCTCGGGGCCCTGTCTCTCAGCTGTTGTAACAGCATCAAACTGTGATTGCCTTTTGCTGCTGTCATAAGTACTCGAATCCACTCTATGCTGTTGCTGCTGCCTCTTTTCCTGCCCCTGCTGCCCCTGCTGCCCCTGTTGTTCCTGCTGCTCCAGCCTCCACTGCTGCCCCTGCTGCTCCCTCTGCTCCCGCCTTCCCTGCTGCTCCTGCTGCTCCCTCTGTCCCTCCTGCTCCCGCTGCTCCCGCCTCTCCCGCTGCTCCTGCTGCTCCTGTCTCCCCTGCTGTCCCTGCTGTCCCTGCTGCTCCTGCTGCTCCCTCTGTCCCTCCTGCTCCCGCTGCCCCTGTCTCACCTGTTGTTCCCACTGCTCCTGCCTCCCCTGCCGCTCCCACTGCGCCTGCTGTTCACGCTGCTCCCGTTGCCCCTCTCCCCCCTGCAGTCTCTGCTCATGCTGCTGCAAAAACTGTTGTCTCGGACGGTTATTTCCCGTTCCCCCTTCCTCCTCCTCCTCCATCTCCTCCTCCTGCTCTTCCACCGTGTCAGCCTCTAAGTCCAAAACAAGCCGTTTCCGCTTCTTCTGCCCCTGTCCCTGCCCCTGCCCTTGCCCTTGCCCCTGTCCCTGCCCCTGCCCCTGCCCCTGCCCCTGCTGCTGCTGCTGCTGCTGCTGTTGCAGATCCAATCGCCTTTGCTGCTGCAGCAGCTGATTCTGATGCTGCTGCTGCTGATTCTGCTGTTGCTGCTGCTGCTGATGATGATGGGGCGTTAAGCACCTCTCCTGCCCATTTCCTTGAGCCTCCTCGTTCATGTCTGCCAACCGCTCTCCACCCCTACTCGCCTCCGACTTCCACCACGGAACCTTCTCCTTCCTTCCCTCTAATTCTCCCTCCTCAGTTCTCCTGCAGTCTTCACTCCCTAACTCCACGCCCAAGCTCCTCCCCCCACTGCTCTTACCGTCCTCCCCCCTATACGGCTGCTGTTGCTGCTGCTGCTGCAGCCCGTGTTGATACTGTCGCTGCTGCTGCTGCTGCAATTGCCTCTGCTGCTGCTTCTGCTGCTCTTGTGCGACTTGCTGTCGGGCTAGCTGTCTGGCCGTCTGAACCTCCTCAGCCTCCTGTTGTGCTGCAATTTGCTGGGGCGTTGGCGCCTTTTCTCCTACCTTCTCACCTACCCTCTCTGCTGCTCTCTCTGCGGTTCCTTGCTCATCCGGTCGCTGTATTACCTGCCCCGCCTGTAATGCAGGTGCTGCTCGTGTTGCTTGCGTTGCCTGCACTGCTTGTGCTCCTTGCACTGCTTGCACTGCCTGTGCTGGTGAGATCTGTGATGCTCCGTGGGGTGGTGTCCCGCGTGTGAGTCCTTGGCTGGTGTTGGGAAGAGGCTCGTTACTAGGCCCACCGCCCATCCTCGATTGCTGCTGCTGCATCGCGTGTTGCATTTGCCACGCCTGCTGCTGCTGCTGCTGCTGCTGCTGCTGCTGCTGTTGCTGCTGCGGCTGCTGCTGCTGCGGCTGCTGCTGCTGGTGCTGCAACAGGTATTGGTTCTGATGCTGCTGGTTTTGCTGATTGGACTGCTGCTGCTGCTGCTGCTGCTGCTGCTGCTGTAGCTGCTGCTGATGGTGATGCTGAAAATGATTCCGGTGCTGCTGTTGTAGCTGTTGCTGTTGCTGCTGCTGTTGAAACTGATTATGGAGTTGTTGCTGTTGTTGCTGATGCTGCTGGTGCTGCTGCTGCTGCTGCTGCTGCATCTGCTGCTGTTGCTGCTGCTGCTGCTGTTGCTGCATCTGGTGCAGCTGGTGCTGCTGCGGTTGCTGTTGCGGTTGCTGCTGTCGCTGCTGCTGCTGCTGTTGCTGAACCTGCTGCTGCTGCTGAGCATGCTGCTGCTGTTTGTTCTGATCTGCCACCTGCGGCCACGAAACCTCACCATGCTCCCTCTCTCTTCCCCCCTCACCTCCCACCTCTCTTCCCCTCTCTCTTCCCCTCTCCCTCTCCCGTTCCCTCTCCCGCTCCCTCTCCCGCTCCCTTTCCCCCTCCCTCTCCCTCTCCTTCCCCTTCTCACTCCCCCCCTGCCCTTCTTCCCTTTCCAACGCCTGCACCACACCCAACATCTTCCGATACTTAGCCTCTGCTTCCTCTAGCGCCAAATCCACCCCTCTCCGCCGAAACTCCTCCTCCGAAGTCGTTTTTTTCACCGATATAATCATCTTCAGCACCTCGACCTCTTTCCTCGCTTCCGCCGCTTCTCTCTCCATTCGTTCCGCGTCTGCCAATCGCGACGCAGCAACCGCTTCCAGCTCCTGAACCTGCCATTTCTTCCGCGCTCGCTCCTCCTCCACCGCAGCTGCCTCTTTCCGCTTCCCTAGTACATCCCTATGACATTCTGCCAGAGCCTCTCGCGCTGCTTCCAGGCTGGACTGGTAACGAGGCAGAGACGGAGGTTTGGAAAGCGCTGACGTGGACGCGGTGGGGCCGGAGCTGGGTCTGGTAGGGCCCGAACCTGGACCGGGAAGCCCGGGAGCAGGTCTGGCCGAGCCTATGGCGGAGACAACCGGGCCCATGGGAGGGATGGGAGAAGCGCCAGTAGAAGCAGCAGCGGCAGGGGGAGGAGGAGGAGGAGCAGGAGCAGCAGCAACGGGAGCAGATGCGGCGACGGGAGGAGCAGGAGGGGCCATTGTTGGGGGAGGGTGAGGAGCAGAAGCAGCTGAAGCGGCGGGGGTGGCAGGATTGGGAGGAGCAGCAACGAATGAGGCACCTGCGGGACGAAGGGATGGGGATGGCGGGAAATAAGGGCATCTTAGAGACCACGCAAAAACAAGGGAGGAGACTAGGGGTAGCTTTTGAGTCGACTCTAAAGGGAAGACTAGTGGACGAACGAGGCGCCTGCAGCACTAAAGGATGGAAATGGCGGAAAACAGTCGAGAAGGATGCAGGAAGCAAGTGAGTAATGGCAAAAGGCAACAGGCAAAGGAAAACGACAATGAGTCTACTCAGAACAACAAGTTGGACACAGCAAATCAGGACAGCGTATCAACTGTTAAAGGACGAAGGGAGCACACGAGAGCAAACATACCCTAACCCTAACTCAATAACGCCACACGAACCATACATGTAACCTTCTGTAAACGGCGGCTTGAATACAAGCAAGCCAGACGACACCCACCCCACTCACTGCTGGCGAAAAACAGCTGCATGTCGCGACAAATATCCGCGCACGCCCTGCGCCCCTCCCGCAGTTCCCTCAGCGCCAACGCCGCCCTCCGCGCAAGCTCGCGCCCGAGCGCGTCCGTGCTTGCGCCGAAGATTCCCCCCACGCACTCCAGCTCCCTCCGCGCGGCCTCCGCGTCCCACTGCGCGGAGCACAGGCGGAACACGTCGCGCACGAACCCAAACAGCTCCGACGACCGCGCGCACGCGGGGCACGCGAACTGCGCACTCGTCCCCGCCGTCGCCCCGTCCGCGGAGCCCTCCGCAGCACCCCCGCCCGCCTGCCCTCCGCCTCTTCCCCCAGCGCCGCCCGCGCTTCCCCCAGCCCCCACTGCGCCGTGGCGCACGAACCCCATGTGGAGCGCGCAATCCGTGTGGCACCAATGAAGACAAAAATCGCATCCAATCCAGCGACACGTGTTGGTGTCAAAATCGAATTTTCCGCATGCGACACACATGCACAAATTGCAAAATCCCCCGCCAATTTCCGTGTCAGAAGCAATACCAGCGCTAGTGCCTGCCCCAGAGTTACCCCTGGTCATAGCACCGGAGGTGTTGGCGCTGGTGGTACCGGAAATTCCGGCGGTATTTGTCGCTCCCCCATCTGCTCCCGCCCGGCCGGATTCCCCCGGGTCGCCGTTGCCCGTCGTGCAGAAACGACAGCGGCAGCCGCCCGCGGGAAGCGGGCTCTGGCAGGCCATGTTCTGACAGCGACGGCGGAGGAAGATTTCGATTAAAGACGTTGGCGGGATGGCTATATCGGGGTGCAGAAACGCCTGGATGCCGGTCCGAACAGCGACGAGGATCTTCAGATGCGTGTAGTGCGCGCGGGAGAGCGACTCCGCGGTGAGGACCGCGCCGGCGCCCGTACGCGTTATAAGCAGGCGCTGGAGGGAGAGAAACTCCGGCTTGCGGTCGGGCGTACCAAGGATGTCCCATAGCGAGACGCGAAGCTGCTCCAAATGCGCGGGCGGTGTGGAGCGAAGCTTTGCGGAAACAGCTTCGACGGGGAGGGAGAGGAGGGAGGGGAGAGAGAGCGGCTCTAGGGACATGGTGGGGGCTTGGGAGTGGGGCGGGGGGGCGGAGAGGAACGGAGGGACGGTTGGTGCTGCACTGCCGCGATGCGGAAACATGAGAACAGCGGCCGGCTGATTGGAAGGAAGGTCAGCCGATCGGAAGGAAGGTCAGCTGATAGGCCTAACAGCTAATATCTGGTGCAGTATCAGCTCTGTCGGACTTGTGGCTTCCAGATATGCTTGCTATTCAGCTTGCTTCTGATACTTGCAACTTGCCTAGGGAACTTCCTGTAGTCCGAGGTTAGAGTCCAGGCTGCGAATGAGAGTCGTTAGGTTACGCGAAAAGGGACGAAAAACGAAAATGTTACTCGTACGGGTCCGCGTAGCTGATGACATGTGAGCTGAAAAGATCTAAAGTCACTTCGCTTTCGGAAAACAGAGGCACTTCGCTTTCGGACGATGATTCAGCTGCGACTGCCGTAAGCTGCGTCAAGATCTGCACGAGAGGCCGTATCACTAGCGCGAAAAGCGACGGGCTATGGGCTGACTGAAACTCATTGACGGGAAGTCGTTGACGGGAAATATTTGTCGGAAAATATTCGAGCAGTAGGTGAAGACTGAAAACAGGCCAGCGTGTCTGATACAGCTGCTGTTTTCGACAATGAGTTTCCTCGAGAATAATGCCGGCTTCAAGACTAGGTACGACTGGTACACGGTAGAGGAAAGCGAGAAATACCGTTTACGAAAACGAGAAATTCGGTAAAACAAAATTGAGGACAGAATGAGGGGGCCAAGCCTAGTCCTGGATTATCGTGTAAGCTAAGGCAGCTGCGATTGTGAAGGCAGGAGGATACCAGTCCACCTTTGCGTGAACGCCTCTCCCCCTTCCCCCACCTATTGCTTAGTTACACCAGGAAGGGAATGGATCAGGCTTATCACACAAAACCACATCGTAGGCTCTAAGGAGCGAGGAGGCGATTGAGGTTTGAGTACTGGCGCGAGTGCTTGCTTGCTGCACGAACGAGGAGCCGACCGAGGCAAGAGGGTCACAGTTGCCAGCGATGAGATGAGATGAGAAACCACGGCGCAGAGCAGAACCAACACCAAAGGGTCAACCACAGTGCCCCAAGTGGGGAGACCGACGAGAGCGAAAGGCGAAGCGAGCAGTGACCTGTTGTACTACAGTATACAGTACGTCAGTCTCTGCTTCTTCGCCTTCGTACGGGCGAAGAAAAGAAGGCTGAAGGCTGGAAGTCTCTAGAAATCTGTTCATAACCTTTCTAAACTCCGTCGTGTGGTGCAGCCGTTATCGAGACTTGGTCGGACAGCTGAAAGCTGGGTATCACATGTTATAGATGGGTCCATTATGGTACGACAGGGTTCACAGGTTTAAATCTACACTTACAGAAAGTAACCCTCGAGTTTCCTTGCTCCAAAAATCGATAGGCGCGACCAGAGGACAAAACGGCTGTGTGGCGTGGCCAATGGCCATTTGATGGGCATGATTTCCGTGTTTGGGCTGCAGGGCAGGATCGCATCACAGAACTGGTGGTCAGAGCGAAGTCCATCAGCTCTACACCTACACACAAGCAGTCAGGATTGTGCTACAGTCAATAGAGTACCTCGAACAACAATAGCATACAGCCTAGCTGTTAATATCGGAAACATCGTTTGCTGTCCATGTTCTGGCTCGTAATGATTTTGGATGAAGGTGAAACCACCAACCACAGCCACTTTCTCACTCTTCATAATGGGGTATGTCATCTTCGACTCCGAGCCTTTTACCGCGCCGGCCTTGTGATGTTTATGACGGCTGTTGTTCCGTAGCCATGGCTGGAAACCTGCGTCAGTGTGATGAAGACACGTAGCGGGATACTACTCGCTATGACACGTGAAGCGTTGACTTGAAGATCTGCTCCTGGCTAGTTTCGACCAGTCAATTTCATATCGACGTTATGACATAACATGGTAGCTCTATACTATTTCACATGTTCATTTTCGTTTTATTCACGTTCCGTCGTCGGTGATTTGTTCTTTACATCGTTATTTTTCCGCTTCATCCGTCTTGATCGCTTACTGTCGGCAAGTTCCTCCAGATAAAGACCCTCTCGTTGAGGCTATTGCAAATGGATCGACCACCGCTCTTCCTTGCAATACCAGCTGCATCCCTCCTGTGTGCTGCCCGGACGTTCGCTTACTGGACATTCGCTTACATTGCAGATTAACTTCCAAGTTTTTTTCACGAGTCTCTGTAACATGTATTGTCACATCCAGGCGCTTGTGTCCCTGTCTCACGTCCTGCGTGCTTTCCGAGCGCACGTGCGACTCTGAGCTTGCTGCAGTGCCAGCCGTCTGTCAGGTTTCTGAGTCATTTCCATCCGCTGATTAAGCGTGCAGAGGAACAAAGAGGTGAGACATCTGAACCTCACTAAAGGACGATCCAAATATTGGCGCCCGATTCATGGCGTGCAGTTGTTTTGCTGCCACATAATGGTCTCTTAGGCCCTCTTATCAAGCTTCTGATAGCCTTAAGAGATGTTCGTGTGGCACAGACCAAAGCTTAGAGCTGGAGAGATAATGTGCTTGTGGGAGGGTGAAGCAACTTAGCTCAAGTAGCTTTGGTGCACTCCAATGGTACCCACATAGCTAACGCCCTCTCCATATCTTGAACTGCCTTTTCTGCATCCCAGTCTATGTGCGTCTCCTAGGGGAATTCATTGAGTTCTTTCATTAAGCAAGGAAATAGCTTTGTCTTTAGGGGGAGAGTGTGCGCTATTGTGTAGGGAACGTGTTTCCTATGCCAGATTGATTAATGTCTCTTCGTGTGTGTGTGTCTGCAGGTGCCCTGCTGATCTGCATGCTGGTGGGAACGATGTGGTTTTGTTCATGGTTTCCAAAGTTGGCAAATGAATTTAAGGTTTTGCAACGTATATTCTGTTGTATAGTTGATTAGCTAGCTGTTCACACAATTAATACGGAAATGTTTGTCAAAATTATCAATGCAATCTATCGCGATTACCCGGTAATTGTAACAGATCTCATCACGATCGCAAGAGTTCGCTTAGGTCTCAGCATCTTTCCCATCCCACCCATCCCCATCCACCCCGTGATCGCTGATCCGCTCTTTCTGCACTTTGTCGTCTGAGGGGCAATCCCAAGGCTCAAATTTTGGATCTCTCGGTCTTGTCTCGGAATTCTCCCTGGCCACGGATCCTAGCAATGGCGACTGCTTCAGGTAGGCTTTCCAGCTGATTAGTGCCTTTGTGTGTATTTTAGCTTCGTCGTAGATTGACTCACCAGATCCTGCTGTCAGGTGCTCGAGATCAAGTTATCAATTCTGGACTCTGTGGGGTATTTTAGAAATCTCAGAATTGCCTTCTCCGCATCTGGTGACTGTTTCGAAAGTTCATTCTGGTGCCATGTGTGCAGCATCGCGCGGATTCATGGCCATCCTCGCTATTATCTCCCTCGTCTTCGCCGGGTCTTGCGCGGCTATCGTCAATGCGTCGCCGTTAGCAACCGTGGAAGCAGCAAAGACTCTCGCAGTTCCGTCGGAAGACGGCTCCTACGGCAGGTGAGATTTTACTCAAAGGACTTCATGTGTTGTCGCAGTAGACTCAAAATCCTCGTTGCTGTGAATCTTCAATGCGTCTCCTTCGTCAATCATGAAAACATTTTGGTACTATCCTTTTCAAAGATGGCTCTTACGTCCCGGTTGAAAGTGTTATTATTTGTCTTTATGCGGATTAAGTGGCATTAGTCGGACGGGATCAGATCCTCGCGTCACTGATTACAAGATTGAAAGGCTTCAGATTTTCCTTTCTCCGCTAATCAGATCGTTTCTGACCGTCTTTTCTCGACGGTTGTTAAACTTACATGGTTAGATCGTGAAACCGGATTCTGAAATGAGCCGGCTATTGGTGACCAGAGCTGCTGGTTACCATGTTACGCTCTCGTGTTTGCCGTTTCAGATCCCATGACCAGCTGTTATAACAGTCAATTATTGCTGGGGAGACGAAACGCCCGTATTTCTCGTCTCGTCATTAGAAAGAAATGGGCGAAATTCTTGTGGAGTAATCGATTTTTCATTCGCAATTCACACGTCATATTGTGCTCTGATCTCATCGTATGCTGCCGTCGCATTCTCCCTTTCCACCACCTACCGTTTCTCATCTCGCCAGTTTGAAGGAAACCTTTCAGGCAGTCAAGCTCCTGAGCGTCGTCTCGAAATCGTCGCTCGATTCGGCCAAGCTCTGCGCGTGGCTGAAGAAGCTTCCCGCCGCCACGTCAGCGGAGGAGGCCTTCCAGAAGGTTTCGATCGCCGCTGCGCTCGGGTGCAAAGGGGCTACCGCCGTTGTCAAGGTAACGCTTTGTCCTCTTTCAAAGCCAAGGTGAGACCCTTGTAAGCCACGTTAGCCGAGGAGGCCTTTCAGAAGGTTTCGATCGCTGCTGCGCTTGGGTGCAAGGGGGCTTCCGCCGTTGCCAAGGTAACGCTCCGCCTTTTCCAAGCCAAGGCGAGGCTTCTGTGTTACTTGATTATTTGTTGATTCTCATTATCATGGTATGCTGGCCATATATGAATGTTCCTCTGTGGCCATGCACACTCTATATCTTTCGCACCTCCTTCCTTGGTTCGCAGGAAGTGGAGACTCTCTTCTCGACGGCCGCATCCTCCTCGTCCCTCGACCAGCTGTTCTACGCTTCGGCAGGCACGCAGATCCTCAAGGTGAGTGAAGTTGATGCTTCTGAGGGATAGAGTGAGGCACAGAGAGAGCGAGCTCATTTGGTGTGAGCGGAGCCTCCTTTGTCCTCAACAGCAGCATCCTCTTCGTCCCTCGATCTGCCCTTCTGCGCGGCAGCCGGCACGCAGATCGTCAAGGTGAGGGAAGGAGTCCGTTTCGAGAGATAGGGAGGGGCAGACAGAGAGAGGGTGCCTCCTTTGTCCGCAGCACCAGCATCCTCTTCGTCCCTCGACCAGCCGACACCCAGATCCTCAAGGTTAACCAAGGAGACATGTTCGAGAGATATATGGGAGGGAGAGAGAGAGAGGGCGAGCTTACTTGCTGGTAATACCAAACAAAACCATCCCTGCCGTTCTCCCCTATGGATGCTCAAACAAACAACATGGTACTAGCAGTCCAACAAGTGGAGTGAATTACTGGGTCCGTGCCTTCAGGCAGGTCTTCAAAACGGTCGCCACGGCAATCACCTGCCTCTCTTCAACCCTCGCCTTATTGCGCATTGTGCATTGCTTCTTTCTCTGCCTTTCCCCCACGAATGTTCCAACCAACCGAACACCATTGGTACTAACAGGCCAACAAGTGGAGCACTGGGTCCGTGCCGTCAGGCCTCAAGAAGGCTGCTGCTGCTATCCTCGTAAGCCTCTCTCTCATCCACACCGCTACCTTCAGAGCCACGCATTACGTTCGGCGCTAGTGTACTTGTGGCTGTGTTGTTCACCTCGTCCCATGTTCGTCTTTTTAGGCGCCTCCAAAATACCTTCACAGCCCCGCATTACGTTCGGCGCTAGCGTACTTGTGGCTGCGTTGTTCACCTTGTCTTGTGTTCGTTGCCACCTGCATGACTTGTTCCGTCCTTTTTTTGAGAAGAAAACAAAAATCAAAATGATATCGAGTCTTATGGTACGACAACAGGCACTGAAGCAGGCGGATGGCACATGGGCGATGGGGAAGAACGGCCAGGGGTCCGTGGCTGCTGCAGGCGTGGCTTTCGAGGCTCTGGCTGCACTCAAGGAGCTGGGCCTGGTGGATGAGAAGCAGGTGAGGATTGATGGGTTGGTAGGGAGTGGTAGTGGTGCGGCAAGGTGCAGCGTGGTGGTGCTGCGGGCGTGGTTCTCGAGGCACTGGCTGCACTCAAGGAGCTGGGGCTGGTGGATGAGAAGCAGGTGATGATGGTGAGAAGGAGGTAGGAACAGGGATGGATGAGAAGGTGGGGTGTGGTAATGGAGTTTCTTAGCTCGCTTTTGAGTGCGTCGATGTATTTGTGCTCTGTGTGTTCACGTGACAGTGCTCTGATGTGTGCATTGTGTGCATGCGGCAATGCTTCGCTCCGCTATGTGGCAGGTGTCTGCTGTTACAGATGCTGTTGGCTCGCTCTTCTCTCTCCTCACAACTGACTGTAAGGAACAGCTCCTTTTTTGTTGCAAAGCCCTTTGTCGTGCACTGTTGTTGAATCAATTCAAGTGTCGCTCTTCTCCCAGCGCTCAAGTAGTCATATGGATCTCTCCCCCACCGCGCTGGCCACTGCGCTAGCCCTCACATCTGTTTCGCACTCGCCTCCACCCTTTCCTCGCCTCTCTTCCTTCACCCTACCTTTGCTTCGTTAACTCCCGCCCCCACTACAACTCCCCCTGCTCGTGGCAACGCCGTCTCGTACTTCTCAGCCTCCCCCGCGGAGGGCAGCTCTCTCGTCGCCAGGGCATCAGCCCTCGCTTGCTACTTCGCGCTCGCCTCCACCCTCTCCTCCCCTCCCCTCCTTCACCCTGCCTCTTTCTCACTCTCCCCCAAACCCCTGCGCCCCGTGCCCCCTCTCCCATCCCTCCCTCCCCGACTTCCCCCTTTTCTCGTCCACTCCTCCCTCCCCTTTCCCCCCTCCCCACTCTATCCCGACTCCTTTGCAACCCCCCCCGCTTCTCCCCCTACGTCCAGCGGATCCCAGTGGCAACGCCGTTTCATTCTTCTCAGCCTCCCCAGCGGAGGGCGGGGCTCTCGTCGCCACCGCGCCCTCCATCACGGGCTACCTCGCGCTCGCCTCCACGCTCGCCTCCCCTCTCTCCGTTCACCCTGCCCCTTTGCCCCACCACCTGCGCCCCGTGTCCCCCCTCCCGTCCCTCCCTCCCCACCCTCCCCCCTTACTCCCTTCGAACCCCCACCCCCTCCTCCCCTCCCCCCGCTTCTCCCACTCTTCCAGCGGACCCCAGTGGCAACGCCGTCTCATTCTTCTCAGCCTCCCCCGCGGAGGGCGGGGCTCTCGTCGCCACGGCCTCCGCCATCACGGGCTACCTCGCGCTCGCCTCCACCCTCGCCTCCCCGCTCGCCGTGCGCCCCCCCAAGGTGGCGGAGGCGGGGCGCTATCTGGTGGCGGCGCTGCCTCTGTCACTGGCGGAGGCTGCGGCGTGGGCTGAGGCTCTTGCTGTGCTTGATAACAACCCGTGAGTTGGTAGTGGAACAGGGAGAAGGGAGGGGGAAGGGGCAAAAGAGAAGAGGGGAAGGGGGAAGAGGGGGGGGGAGGGAGACTGAGGGGGAGGCGGCTGCCTGGACGGAGGCCCTCGCAGTGCTTGATAACAACCCGTGAGTTGGTTGAGGATCAGGGAGGGGGAGGGAGGGAATGGGGAGGGAGGGGGAGGGAGGGAATGGGGAGGGAGGGGGAGGGAGGGAATGGGGAGGGAGGGGGAGGGAGGGAATGGGGAGGGAGGGGGAGGGGAAGAGTGGGAGGCTGAGCGCTATCTGGTGGCGGCACTGCCTCTGTCACTGGCGGAGACTGCTGCCTGGGCTGAGGCCCTCGCAGTGCTTGATAACAACCCGTGAGTTGCTCAAGGAACAGAGGAGAGGCCGGGGGGGAGGCCGGGGGGGGGCAGGGAGAGGGAAGAGGGGGCGAGGGAAGAGGGGGCGAGGGAAGAGGGGGCGAGGGAAGAGGGGGCGAGGGAAGAGGGGGCGAGGGAAGAGGGGGCGGGAGACTTCTGCTTGGGCAGAAGCGCTCGCTTTGCTTCCCATGAGTAGGCTGAGGAACTGAGAGGGGCCGGGGAAGGGAACGGGTTGAAAGGATTTGTCAGACGTCCGATGAGCTGTACGCTACACTGTTCCTTCCCTCTTCCTTCCTCCTGTGCTCCCTTGTCCTTTTTTATCGCCACACTTGCTTGCTCTCGTACAGTCTCCTCAATCGGTATCTCACTCTAGTCTTCTGATCCGCTTTCTTCGCCCTCCTCCGGTTGTATGCTTTTCTAATGGAACACAAAGTGTACACCCCGCCCTCCTCTCTTCAGTCATCCTGTCTACCTTCCATAATCCCTTCCCCCATCCCACTCTCCCCCCCCCCCACCCCCCTGTCTTCCAACTTCCGCCCTCCTCTCAATCTCCCCCTCAAACTTACCCCGTTCACACTCCTTCCCCTCCGTCCAAAAGTCTCCTCTCCCCTCCCCCAGCCCACCCGTTCATCCAACCCCCCCTCATTTCCCCCCCACGGTCACTGCAGCATCTTTGTGCCCATCTTCCTCTCATCTCCCGGCCACATCTCTATCTCTGCTGACCCCACGCTCACCGTAAGTCCTCCTGCCCCCTGTAAGCACATTCCCTGCAGACCCTACGCTCACCGTAAGTCCATCCGCTCACTGCAGCATCTTTGTGCCCATCTTCCTCTCGTCTCCCAGTCACATCTCAATTTCTGCTGACCCCACACTCACTGTGAGTTTTCCCGCATTCTGTAAGCACACTCATTGTAAGTCCTCCCTCCAGCTCCCTAAAAGCACGCTCATTCTACTCCTGTCACAGCTCTTCCCTTCTGTGCCTGCAGGCTGATACGCACTCAGAGTTGGCCACACCTCATTGTTCTCACTCACATCTACATTCTCCATCCTCACTCCCATCCTCACGTCCCCACTCTGCCACCCCTGCCGTTGATTCCTGGCTGATTTGCACTCTGTATTGCCAGTCCACCTCCCTGCCAACGTTCACATTCTCGTTTTGCACCCCCACACCTGCACCCCCATCCGTGTGACTGTAGGTGAGTGTGACAACAGCGCTGGGAGGGAAGGTGCCAGGCGTGGGGTCAGTGAAACTGTGGAGTGCCACCATCCCTTCCATCCCTAGTTCATCCCCACGTGTTCAACCTCTCCCCCCCCCCCCGGTTCCCCCCCTCTTGTGTGACTGCAGGTGAGTGTGACAACAGCGCTGGGAGGCAAGGTACCAGGCGTGGCAGTGAAGCTGCAGAGTGCCACTATCGGGGGTGGCAGTGCTGCATCAGGCAAGGAGCTCACAGCAGGCAAGGACGGCATCTCCTTCTCCGCCAAGCCATTCTCCAAGGCCTCTACCCTTGGAGTCTACACGCTCAAGTTCAAGGTGTGATGACGAGTCCCCCACCCTTGGATTGGAGTCTATGCATGCATGTATGTATGTCATCAGGCAAGGAGCTCACAGCAGGCAAGGACGGCACTTCCTTCTCCGCCAAGCCAATCTCTAAGGCCTCAACCCTGGGGGTGTACTCGATCAAGTTCAAGGTGAGAGGCTAAAGTCAGTGCAAGTCACGGTAGTCAATGGAGTTAATATCAGGGACAGCAGATCACCCCCCCCTGCTTAATCTCAGCCACCTGTGCCCGCCTATCTCCGCCCCACCCTCCTCGCTCCCAGATCACACCCCTGCTGAATCGGCCTTCATTGTCAGCAGCGCATCAGTGGAGCGTCCGCTGCTGCTCTCCGCGTCCGTGGCATTGACAGCCTCTTAATCACCCCGTGCTTCTTTCCACACTCCTCTTTACCACCTTCCCATCCTCTGCAGATCACCCCCCCTGCGGAATCGGCCTTCATTGTCGGCAGCGCTTCAGTGGAGCGCCCGCTGCTGCTCTCTGTGTCCGTGGCATTGACAGCCTCTTAACCACCTGGTGCTTCTTCTCCCCTTTCCACACTCCTCTTTACCACCTTTCCATCCTCTGCAGATCACCCCTCCTGAGGAATCGGCCTTCATTGTCGGCAGCGCATCAGTGGAGCGCCCTCTGCTTCTCTCTGCCTCCATGGCAGTCACCAGCGTGTCTGTGGCTGTGCTTGACAGCGATGGCGCCACTCCTGAGGCCGAGAAGAAGTGAGTGAGGAGAGGCAGGGAGTGCCCTGGTATGGGTGTGCCCTGTGTAATAGTATGTCCCAGTTCAAGGGGCCAGTGTGAGTGCGAGTTTTTATCGGGTGCATGTCCGCTAAGCTGTGGTGTGTTGAGGTTAGTAAGAGCAGTGTTTTCTTGTTTTCTTTCTCCATGCAGTGTAAGGGTTCGTTTTGGCTCCTAATATCCTCCACCCTCCCACTCTCCCATGCTCACCTTCTCCCCCGCTCACCTTCTCCCCCCCGCCCCCCCGCCCCTTCCCCGCCAGGCTGGACTTTGAGAAGAGGACAAACTTCACCGACCTGTCAGCCACCCACCTGCAGAAGCTGCGCGTGTCTCTCTCCCTCGCCACACCCTCGGGGAAAGCCTTTGTTCCCCACCAGGTAAGGGGCGCCTTAGAACACTCCTTGCTTTCATACACCTCTGGAAGGTAGAAATCTGCACTAGGTAAAGGGTGCCTAGCATACTTCTTGCTTCCTGTGCCTATTCGTTATGAGACTGTTGCCACATCTTTTCCCTTTTCCCTTTCGCATTCGTTCGTTCTTTACCCTTTCCTCTGTGCTCTGCAGGCGGTGCTGCAGCTGGTGAATAGCATTGGAATGGCATACTCCTTCCTTCTCAAGCCATCCGGCAGCACCCTCTCAGTTCAGCTCGTGAGTTCGGCCTTTCCAGCTACTGCCCTTCTGGCCTGTTCACTGCCCTGCAAGCCTGCTTGTCCTATGCTCTGGTCTTCCTTTTGTAATACCTTCTCTAGCCACACCCCCTTAAGCCACACCCCCTTAAGCCACACCCCCTTAAGCCACACCCCTTAAGCCACACCCCTTAAGCAACACTCCCCTGCCTCACTTTCTCGTTCCTCATTCCCCCAATTCGCCCTGCCTTCACTTCACCCTTTCTCCACGCCAACAGGAGCTACTGGAGCTGATGGGGCGGCTCTTTGGTCACCCCTTTCGACTCACTTGCTCCCCCGTCTTTGCTCTCCTCACTCCCTCCCGCTCCCTTGCACCGTCTCGATATCCCCTCCCATCCCCTCCCATCCCTTCCCACTCACGCAACAGGAGCTACTGGAGCTGATGGACCGCCTCTTCTACCACGCGGGCGAGTACACTCTCAAGCTCATTATTGGAGCCCAGCTGCCAGTGGATAATGCCTTCCACTGGCAGCTGGGCTCTGTCGACCTTGACCTGCCTGTTGCCCCTGAGACTGCCCGCCCGCCCGCCCTCTTCCCTGTTCCTCACTCCCTCCCACTCCCTTGCACCGTTTCTCTACCCCCCCTCCCGTGTGCTTAACAGGAGCTGCTGGAGCTGATGGACCGCCTGTTCTACCACTCGGGCGAGTACACTCTCAAGCTCATCATCGGCGATCAAGTCATGGATAACTCATTCGACTGGCAGCTGGGCACTGTCGACCTCGACCTGCCTGTGGCGCCTGAGACTGCCCCCAAGCTGCCCGCCCGCCCAGAGTCCCTGGTTGAGCGATTCGCTGCCAAGCCCGAGATCGCGCACATCTTCCGCAAGCCGGACCCCCGGCCGGCGGTCGTTGTCTCGTACTCGTTTGTCGCGCTCGCGCTGCTGCCGCTCGTGCTGCTGCTCGTGGGGGTACGTGGGTTGTGAAGTTATTCGTGTGCAAGGGGTATGTGAGGGTGGGGAGTATGTTTGCATGTGGGGGTATGTGAGGGTGGGGAGTATGTTTGCATGTGGGGGTATGTGAGGGTGGGGAGTATGTTTGCATGTGGGGGTATGTGAGGGTGGGGAGTATGTTTGCATGTGGGGGTATGTCTGCTTGTGGGAGGAGACACCGCTTCTCATCTCAAATCTCGAAACAACTCAACAACCTATCCCTTCCCACTCATTGATTCCTCTTCTCATCTTCATCTCTTAGATTTCTCATAACTGCCTGCTCCTTGCCCTCTTATCCACCCCGTCACTTGTTTCCTCCACCGCTTTCCACCCCTTCCCACTGCACAGCTGGCGGTGCTAGGAGTGAATCTCAAGGCCTTTCCCTCCGGGGGTGTGCCTCTCCTCTCAGCTCTGGCCTTCCACGGGGGAATCGCTGCTCTTCTGCTGCTCTACGTCGCCTTCTGGGTGCAGGTATGTAGGCGTGTACATGTGTGATGTGTTCTCCACTGTGGGAACAGTTGTACGTTGGTTGATGTGCATGTATGTACTGCCATTGAAAGTATTTTGTTTGGAGTAAGAAAGGTGCAATGTCGCCGTCTGCTGCTTACTGTACGCGCTTGCATTCTCCTTGGCTCGCTATGTTAAATTTTGGACTTTATAGCTTGTGCCGTGCCGTTACACTACCACCCACTTATCTCTCCCCTTACCTCAATCCACCCTCCTCTCAACGCAGGTGAATCTGTTCACCACGCTCAAGCTCATCATTCTCCTCGCTGTCCTCACAGCCATTCCCGGCCACCAAGTTCTCTCATACCTTGCTGACGTGGCACCTAAGGCCAAAACGGAATGAGCTGTTTTTGCACCACCACCATCAGTGCAGTGTGGGGTATAACCTCCAATCTTGGAATATTTTGAATGGCACATCTCTGGACTAGAACGTACCTGTTTTAAGTGGGATCTTCTTTTGTTGTCTCTAGTGGCCTTGTGCTCAGGCTATTGACATGACAAAGAAAAGCCTGAAATTAGTGTGATTTCAATGTGATACTAGTACTAAACCTACCTAGAGATTGGCATCGTTTCTCCCACCACGTCCAGGCGTCTTTCTCGTACACAAGAAGAACTGCCAATAGCGAGTCTGCCGTGCGGGTGACTCAACCTCGCTGTTAGCTCCGATTCTTCTCACTCCACAATTTTTTGCGAAACAATGCGTGTAAATAGTTTACGTAAACGCTGTGTTCCGTGTGAAGAAAACGCAACGCATTGGCCGCAGGCGCGTGGCAAAATCGATCGATTTTTATGCGGTTGAATGCGTTTTTGTGCATGACAGAGCGATTCGCCAACATATAAACTCATATGAGAGCTGTTGCTTCTGGAGCTTTCCTAGGCTTCCCCCAGTACTCACGCTTCGGGGCGGATAGGTCGAGGCACTATTTTCTTCAGGCAGCCATAGCTTGGGGACTCTTCTTTGGTTCGCTTCTGGCTTCTGGGTGCCGGATCTTTGGTTTCTCGTGGGGTGGGGAGCTCTGTCAATTCGCCACCGCGAGAATCGTAACCCTAAATCGCAATCGCAGTCGTAACCTTGGAGTCGACTCAGAAACGCACCTGTAGCTGTGATTGCAGCTTGAGCCCCGACCGGTCGAGCCGCTTCGCCCCAGCTCGATCCGCTCTTTCGCCCACCGTTACCGCATTCGCAGCTTCCATCGCAGGCCGTTTGGAGACTCGTTCGTCGGTCGTGTTCGCAAAAGCTCTTCCGCCCATCATTGCAGCGCGGCTGCCCTTCCTACCTACGGACCAGGATCTGTGAATTCGCTGTCCGAATCGCGACTGATCGAGCCGTTAATTCGTTAGTCAAGGAGCCGACGAATCTCTAGATCCGCTGGTCGATCTGCTATCAGAGCTTCTAGATTTGATTCTCCAGGCGCCATGAATCTCGGCGCGATGAAGAATATGAAAGTGCCGCCCGGAGCGGGCGGCGCGATCGGATCGGTGCTGCGCGCTGCGGTGGTAGGCGGTGCGGTGCTGTACGGTGCGATGCACAGTCTGTACAACGTGGAGGGAGGACACCGCGCGATCGTCTTCAACCGGTTCTCGGGGATCAAAGACACGGTGGGTTCCGGTGTGGATCGGCTCAGTGCGGTGATGAACGGCTAGGCGCGGTGGGTGCGATACGTGCTCGAGCTTGAATTCGTCTCATGCATTGGGCGGGTTTGTTTTTGGTTCTTCCCGTTATAAACAGTCTCGTTAGGTTCTTACGGAAGTAAGGCCTCAGGTCTCCTTCAGGTGCCCTTTCTCTTGTACCTCTCCTTCGCGCGCATTTCCCGCCATAACCGCGGCGTTTCCCCGCGCGTGTCATGCGCTTTTCTGTTGTGTATAAATTCACTTTCCGAACCCCCAACTCCATTTCCTCTTTCCCTCTCACCTCTTCCTCCGCTTATCTCCCCACCCCCCCCCCGTCCCCCCGTTAAACGCATGTCATCATCCCCGGTATTGAGTGGTGCCCTACATACACAGTGGCGCGGCGTTTCTTTATCTCCCGTACACCACCTTTTCCCCCTCCCCCTTCCTAACCTCCCCTTCTCGCGTCATTTCCACGTTCCCCCCCGTTATCCAGGTCAAAAACACCCAAAAAGCACCCCGTGCTCTCCCTCCCTCCCTCCCTCCCTCCCTCCCTCCCTCCCTCCCTCCCTCCCTCCCTCCCTCCCTCCCTCCCTCCCTCCCTCCCTCCCTCCCTCCCTCCCTCCCTCCCTCCCTCCCTCCCTCCCTCCCTCCCTCCCTCCCTCCCTCCCTCCCTCCCTCCCTCCCTCCCTCCCTCCCTCCCTCCCTCCCTCCTTCCCTCCCTCCCTCCCTCCCTCCCTCCCTCCCTCCCTCCCTCCCTTCCTCCATCCCAACCCATCCCAATCAATCCCAACCCACAGGTATACCAGGAAGGGACGCATATCATGATCCCCGGTATTGAGTGGCCCATTATCTACGACGTGCGCGCGCGGCCGCATCTCGTGGAGAGTACGTCCGGGAGCCGCGATCTCCAGATGGTGGGCCTCTTTTGTCCTGTGTGGCTGGGTGTGTTGTGTCGTTTAATGGTCGGTTAGTCGGGTTTGGTTGGTGGCAGTTAGCAGGTGAGATGACAGCTCTTTTTCACTGTTTCCCACGTCAAGGTGTTTCTGAGGCGCCTCAGAAATTGGTGGCAGGTAGCAGATGAGATGACAGCTCTTTTTCACTGTTTCCCACGTCAAGGTGTTTCTGAGGCGCCTCAGAAATTGGTGGCAGGTAGCAGACGAGATGACAGCTCTTTTTCACTGTTTCCCACGTCAAGGTGTTTCTGAGGCGCCTCAGAAATTGGTGGCAGGTAGCAGGTGAGATGACAGCTCTTTTTCACTGTTTCCCACGTCAAGGTGTCTCTGAGGCGCCTCAGAAATTGGTGGCAGGTAGCAGATGAGATGACAGCTCTTTTTCACTGTTTCCCACGTCAAGGTGTTTCTGAGGCGCCTCAGAAATTGGTGGCAGGTAGCAGATGAGATGGCAGCTCTTTTCACTGTTTCCCACGTCAATGTGTCCAACCCCACCCATTTCCCTCTTTCCCCTCGCTGTCCGTCCTTCAGTCCTCATGTCCCCTTTTCCCCCTGCTCTCCTTTCCCACTCCCTCAGGTCCGCATCACCCTGCGTGTTTTGACTCGCCCCATGTCGGACCGCCTCCCCACCATCTACCGCACGCTGGGCCAGGACTATGCCGAGCGGGTGCTGCCATCAATTGTCCAAGAGACGCTCAAATCGGTGGTGGCTCAGTATAACGCCAGCCAGCTCATCACACAGCGAGAGGTATGGGATGGTTATGAGCGGTACAGAGCGTTACTGAGCTGGCCAGGACTATTCGGAGAGGGTGCTGCCTTCAATCGTGCAGGAGACGTTGAAATCCGTGGTGGCTCAGTATAACGCCAGCCAGCTGATCACACAGCAAGAGGTATGGGATGGTAATGTGCGGTACTGAGCGGTGAGGGAGCGCAGAAGGAGAGGATGCTACCATCCATCGTGCAGGAGACTTTGAAATCCGTGGTGGCTCAGTATAACGCCAGCCAGCTCATCACTCAGCGAGAGGTGCGTGATTATATTGAAGGTGCTCATATGAAGTGTTGGTCTTAGTAAATTCAGTGACGGGGCAAGGGAACGGGGATTCGTGCTGGCCCGTTAGAATGCCCTCTTAAATTGACACCCCTTTACCCCCCTCCCCCAGTCGGTCAGTCGTGAGATCCGTCGCATACTCGAAGACCGAGCCGCAAGTTTCAACATTGCTCTGGATGACGTGTCCATCACCAACCTCACGTTCCGGCGCGAGTTCTCCCCTTGCTTCCATTCCTTCTTCTTGAACCTGAACCTGAACCTGAACCTGAACCTTCGCTCCTCCCCATCCCCTATTCCAGTCTGTGAGCCGTGAGATTCGGCGTATCCTGGAGGACAGAGCAGCGTCCTTCAACATTGCGCTGGACGATGTTTCCATTACGAACCTCACGTTCGGGCGCGAGTTCACAGCAGCCATCGAGGCGAAGCAGGTGGCGGCACAGGAGGCAGAGCGCGCCAAGTTTGTGGTTCAGAAGGCAGAACAGGACAAGCGGGGAGCGATTATCCGAGCACAGGTGAGCTGGGAGCACAAGCGGCATACATGTATGTGCCAAGAGCACTCAGCAGGAGCACTCACAGGATGCAGAGCGTGCCAAGTTTGTGGTTCAGAAGGCAGAACAGGAGAAGCAGGGAGCGATCGTGTATGTATGTGTGCACGCGTGCACGTGAGGGGGGGATGCGCTCTCTACACCCTTTCAAGCACAATTCCACACAACAGGGAGAGGCCACGAGTGCCTAGCTGATAGGAAAGGCCATTGCTATTAACCCATCCTTCATCTCTCTGCCGCCTCCCCTCCTTCACATCCCTTATGTTCTTCCCCTCTGCCCTCCTCCATCCTCCTCTCCTCTCTCTTTCCCTTCCCCCAACAACAGGGAGAGGCCTCAAGTGCGCAGCTGATAGGAGAGGCCATCGCCAACAACGCCTCCTTCATCACCACACCTCCCCATCCGCCCCTCCCCTCTTCTCCCGTTTTACTCTCGTCTCATCTCCCTGTGCCTTCTCCCCTTCCTCCCCCCCTCTTCCCCCACTTCCGCCACTTTCCCCACTTCCCCCACTTCCCCCACCTCCCTCATCTTCCTCCCCCCTTCCCCCACCTCCTCTCCCCTCCCTTGTTCTACAGGGAGAGGCCACGAGTGCGCAGCTGATAGGAGAGGCCATCGCCAACAACCCCTCCTTCATCACTCTCAGGAAGATTGAGGCGGCGAGGGAGATTGCCAACACACTGGCTAATAGCAGCAACCGCGTCTTCCTCTCTTCTGATTCGCTGCTGCTCAACCTGGCTGACGAGAAGACTGATGTGACGCCCGCTCCTGCACCTGCTGCCGGAGCAAAGAAGAAGTGAAAATGGCTTTTAAATGGTACTTAATCAGCTATTTTTGACATAATGTGCACGCATCTAGATGGAGATGGATGGAAGTTGAAAAATAATACATGCACAAAAATGAAATGCGTGCATAAAATAGCGCGTAGTCTGTGCCATTGGCTACTTGCTCACATAAAGTGGCTCCAAAGCCTGGTGCGTGAAATGCAGTGCCTCTTATGATTATTGAGAATTTTGATTCACCCCATTTGATGAAGTTGCATGTACATTATGACATGTACAATAGGACTTTGAGTTACCTTGGAATATTTTCAAGTGTATCAGTGCTGCCATGCATAAACTTTGGAAGGGGGTTAGTGGGGACTTGCAATGTCCGAAAAGCCTGCCGCCTGCAACTTTTGCCGCTGGTTGCAAC